AGCGCAGTCAAACGCGTGTAAGTGATCATTCTATGTTCTGCTTTTTTTCCAAATTTGTCCAAGATTTGGTAGTACTTTATGGTTAACGCTCAATGGATTGTCCGTCCCTTACGAGATGGTAGAGCATCAGGAGTGCAACAACTCATTTTATTATTTTCCCTTTAAGCATTCTAGGCCACACATCATAATAATGACCAGAATAAGTCTTTTATCGTGACGTTGTGAAGCATATCCGTGGGTACGGATTGAATAGTTGTAAGTTGTAAATACTTTAGACAAGTGGTCATTCAATAATTTCCGAAAAATATTTATAGAGCGCTTTAGTAACGTTCAACCATCATTACCTCGCTAATGTACAAGTTGGGTATTAATCTTGACCTTATTAAAAGTGTCGTATTTTCCTTAATCAAGTAACATCAAAACTTCATATAAGTATATTAAATATTGGACAACATTATATGCATACCTCTGATTCCAAGGTAAGGTAAGGCCGAAGCCCTCATTTATGGAAATCACACAACGCATTTTTATAGCAAATGCAGCAAATTGCCCCTCCCCAACTGATGTTAAGTGGAAGTGGACCATTCAGTTCCGAATTTAGCTGATGCGGCAGAGTTGTGCTGCACTAGCCATCCTCGTCTTTCCGGCCAGAACCCATTCCCCTTCTCCGTGGAGCCCTAGTACTTTGCTCACCGTCAGAATCAACACTAACAAACTTAGTTTTGTTATGCTATGGTATTCTGTGAAGGTTATGTCTTCAGGTGGAAATTGTCCTACCAGTCCATTAAGAGAGGTGTGTTTTTCTTAAAACCAACCAGACTCGAAAAGTTCGTTTTTAACATTGACCTGGAATCAGATCACACTTGGGAGTTGGGACCTCAGAGTTGATATAACCACAACCAATTTTTATGCTAACAACTGACTGACCAAAAAACCGTTGGTCCCAATGTCATCATCTGCAATCGTTACCATTTCTTACCGCACCCGAGTAATGGGTTCTAGCAGAGGCGTATTTATCCTTGGTCTAAGAGGGGCATGGCCCTGGTGCAAGAAGCGGCAGCAATAGCTACGAGGAGCGGCAAGAGCCATATGAAGGCATTCGTTACCGATTTTCATTTGATTTGATTTACTAATTCTGGGGGAGGGGGGGTGGGGGTGCAAATCGTAAGTGGCCCGGGGCGCCAGATTTTAAAATACGTCCCTAGATCTAAGCGTAGGACGCTCTCCCTATTAAATCTTTAAGGAATACCTGTGTCCCACATCAGTGGGGACATTATTAGGCTGATTATGATGCCTTTCGGTAATAAGTCAAGACAGGTTTGCTAGCTTAATGCCTACAATACTTTCAAAGACTAGTGTATTCCTTGATAAACTTTTCATAAATTCGTCGCAATACAGCGAAAACTCAGTTAATCGAAATGAGTTAATAAAGAAAATCTACTCAGTTTTACATCTGCGAAGAAAACATTAGTCAATTTGTGACATCAACTTATTTTGATTTACTGGTTTTTTAGTTGTACAACGACGAATTTAACAAAAGTTTATCATTATTAGGTTAATTTACAAAAAGTATTGATGTTGAAAAAAGTTAAGAATATAATATTTAATTATATACAACTGCGATAAATCAATGAGAGATACGTGTAGTAAGTAGATTTATTGCAATACACTTTGTAATGAGTCCATGAAAGATAACTCAATCTCCATATAACGACGTAGATCGAATTACTCACTTCTGTTGACTTTGAATAATGAGTAAAGTCTTGCAAGTCTTTTGAGAATTCATTCAAATGATTTCATTATAAAATATACAGGGTTACAGGGAAAGTCGTACTGAATATTGAAGGACGTTATTATTCAGGTCATTTCTGATGGATTTGGTCCTATAATATGGTGTCCAAAACTTAATCGTTATGGAGATATTGGATATTAAAGATTTTTTTAAAAAATCCTATATTTTTTGGGTTACTGTCGATTTTTTTGAAATTAGAGCTCCAAAGGTCCGATTTTTTAATTAATCTAGTTAGAAGACATGTCAAGCAATAAAAATAATGAATAAAAACTGAACTTACTTCTAACGGCTTAAAAAAACTGCTCGACATCGGTTATAACTAAAGAATTTTCACCAAGTGTTGTTAACTTTGAAGCGCTTTCCTAAAAAAACATATATGGAACTTATTCTGCAAATAATTTTAAAAACTTCTACGTCTCTTTAGTTATTCAAAAAGGTATAACACTTGCTATTAAATTGGCAAAACATACTAAATAACAGTTATGGTAGCAGAGGGTACGTTTTTAGTTTGAGGTAAAAATAGCAAAAATACATAAATAAAACCAGAAAAGCATCATCATCATCATCATCACCAGCCTATTAATGTCCCCACTGCTGAGGCACAGGCCTTCCCTATTGATGGAATAGGGAGATTGGGCCATGACCCACCACGCGGGCCCAGTGCGGATTGGTGGGTGCTAACGACTGCAGATGCGGCCGGGACCAACGGCTTAACGTGCCTTCCGAAGCACGGAGGAGCTCGAGATAGTAATTTTTGGTCACCCATCCAAGGACCGACCACTGCGAAAGTTGCTTAAGTTCAACGATCGCATCATCTGGTCGTATACAAGGCTTTTCATTATTATGTGTGGGGTCATATGAAAAGCCTTGTATACGACCAGATGACGCCGATCGCAAATATCGATATTTTGCGACAAAGGATTTATTGGTGCGGCTGAGGATATGAGGCGGAACTTAAAAACTTCTGTAGTAAAAAGTAATTTAAGAAAAAGATTGAGAGCATATTGTGTTAGAAATAGCGGCGACCATGTTGAACATGAATCATAATTTTGAGCAGCTCGATGGCGCAAGTGGTTAGCGCGTTCGGCTGCGATCGTTGAACTTAAGCAACTTTCGCAGTGGTCAGTCATTGGATGGGTGACCAAAAATTACTATCTCGAGCTCCTCCGTGCTTCGGAAGGCACGTTAAGCCGTTGGTCTCAGGCGCATCTGCAGTCGTTAGCACCCATCAATCCGCACTGGGCCCGCGTGGTGGGTCATGGCCCAATCTCCCTATTCCATCAATAGGGAAGGCCTGTGCCTCAGCAGTGGGGACATTAATAAGCTGGTGATGATGATGATGATGATGCTTTTCGGTTTTATTTATGTATTTTTGCTATTTTTACCTCAAACTAAAAATGTACCCTCTGCTACCATAACTGTTATTTGGTATGTTTTGCCAATTTAATAGCAAGTGTTATACCTTTTTGAATAGCTAAAGAGACGTAGAAGTTTTTAAAATTATTTGCAGAATAAGTTCCATACATGTTTTTTTAGGAAAGCGCTTCAAAGTTAACAACACTTGATGAAAATTCTTTAGTTATAACCGTTGTCGAGCAGTTTTTTTAAGCCGTTAGAAGTAAGTTCAGTTTTTATTCATTATTTTTATTGCTTGACATGTCTTCTAACTCGATACATTAAAAAATCGGACCTTTGGAGCTCTAGTTTCAAAAAAATCGACAAAAACCCAAAAAAATATATGATTTTTTAAAAAAATCTTTAATATCCAATATCTCCATAACGGTTAAGTTTCGGACACCATATTATAGGACCAAATCCATCAGAAATGACCTGAATAATAACGTTCTTTAATATTCAGTACGACTTTCCCTGTAACCCTGTATACGTATTACGCCAGTATACAAAAGGGAAGAGTTTTATAGTCACATTGATGTCACCGCTACAAAGTAGTGACCATTAAATGAGATTGGTCCAAATTAGCGTGTTTGTCAAGGGTCCCTGTGGTCAGATTCAAGCAGTTTGAGAATGGGTACAAAATGTACCGTCGAGATCACGTTAGTAGACAATTCGGCAATTTCACTGCATCTATATCACATAAGTAACAACTAGTTCACATAATTGAATGAATGAATAAATGATTTATTGAATTACAATAACCGCAAAAACAAAGCAGTTCTTTGAGAGAGCTAGATATTGTACTAGGTTACAAAACCTGTGTTGCGACCGCCAGGCTAAAATCCTCTTAAAGCCTGTTTGCTAGAGATTCTTTTTCATACTGAGATTGCTTTCTGTATTAGGGCGCGTTTATATGTCAGGCGGCGGCTGTGCGATTGTGACCCGTTAGTTAACTACAGACAATTTCAATGTTGTGTCATCACTACATAGTATAAAGCAAAGTCCCGCTGTCTGTCCCTATGTCCCAATGTATGCTTAGATCTTTTAAACTACGCAACGGATTTTGATGCGGTTTTTTTTAATAGATAGAGTGATTCAAGAGGAAGGTTTATATGTATAATACATGCATAATATAGTTGAGTAACACTGATAATTTTAGAGATTTTTAATGTAAGGCCGTAAATAAACACACGGTTTGACCTTACATTTTGTAAACGCTGGCTGAACCCAACGAGATAGATCAAAATAATGTACTACAGTACTGTACACTTTAAAAAGGTCAACAAAAAAGTCCGCGATGGTATATGTCTATCTCTTAGAGATAACCCACAATAATCATTGTTATTCCTATACTTTTTACGAGAAATAATAACTTATTTCGGAAGCGGTTTTCAGCAATATAACATTCATCCTTATCCAATTTAGTACCTTAAATTCATTGTGCATTTAATAAAGATCAAGTTGGCCCTTTAAAGCATGTAATTTAAACGATTATTTTCAAAGATATTACAGATTTAAAATGCAGGGACATAGCGGTTCCGACGCTACCGGGCGGGGGGCCTGGCGGCGCGTGCTTATTGTAATTAGGTATTAGAAGAATGTCATTGTGTATAATACAAGCCTGAGAAAAACTTTAGTCTACACTAAAGCTCTAAACCGAAGCGAAGCGAAGGCGGGCCACTAGTAGTTAATAAAACATAAATTTGCATGATTGAACACACGCCGCGCGGTGGCTGAAAGACATTTTTCACGCCGTGTAACAGCTACGTGGCCGAACGATTAAAATATTCAGATTATATTAAAAATTACTTACCTGCCCATATCGAGAAGTTAAATGCACATTCCTGTTCTTCAGTGAAAAGTCCGGTCTCTTTGCTAGTCCATAATTGCTTTTCTGAGAGATGAATTTCTTTGGTCTATCCAGTCTTTCCGTAGAGCCTGTAGCATCATCATCCTCCCCCCTCTTCGATGTCGACGGGATTCCCCGATAAGCTCCTCTCGTGCCTCTGATTGTCTTTTCCGGACTTTTGTCTTGCTTCCTCGTAATGAGGTTCTCTTTTCTTTGTTTGCTGTTTCTCAATGTAACATTTGACGCCATATTGTCCATATTGGTCCATCAAAGGTTCAGACAGTATCAGATACTATTTTATTATTCATTGTGATAAATCAAAATTGAATAAATATCTTAGAATCTCAAAATTGTTATGATAAAATCATTTCATATACAATAAGAATATAATGAATCAAATTAACTACAAAAATAATATGGACTATGCTAATCAACTAATTAATAAATAAATAGCTAATTCCGTCTTTTGATTCTCTCTCGCTGTGTGGACATCTTCATTTGAATGCTACCCCAAACTGTCTTTATAACTAAAAAAATATAATCTAAAGTAAACAGTCTTTAGGAAGATTTTGGAAAGTTGTATTGCAGGGTTGTGTCGATATTATCTGGAACAAAAAAGTAATATTGTCAAATCACTAATCATACAGGTGCACAGGTTAATAGAGTCAGGCTGGGTTCCGGAAAAGGAGGACAGAGACATAATAAAAAATATTTCCTTCAACAAGACGAAAATGATAACAATAAAGTGAATTTGGAAATGCAAAGTGAGTGGTTAACTGGCGTGACTCTGAAGTGGCGCACTGTTCTACATGATTGGTTTCCTGCTCTACTAAAATTCTATCTCAATGCCTTCCAAATGACCCTTTCAGACCAGAGTAACCTAGTAAGTTGGGGAAAAGTCTCTGAAAAATTGTGCTGCTTGTGGTGAGGCAATAGGTACTGCAAGGCATATAGTTGTACATTACAAGATGCTCCTTGATAGTGGGGTAGATATATGCCTCTTTTCTAGGCACATCGTGTAAACTGTACCGTGGGAAACAAACATTCCAAAAGACCACACAATAAAATTGAATAAATAAATATTACTATCTAAAGAACTAAGTAAAATTGGCTATCTAGTTAATTTATATGCGGAAGTCCCGGGAACTGCTCAGAGTTTCTCTCTCTCCCACATGATGGCTACAGCATCTGCATGTACAATCCATGGATTGCTAAGAAGTACCTCTCTTTAATATACTTGGATATACAAAAAAACAATACATCAATTTCCATTTCATTTTGAAAACAGCTGTTGCAAATTAAACTGATTAAAATTGAAAATATATTTATGTACCCTAAAATATAAAATTATTTTAAATTTTGACTACCTCCATTGCCGAGTTGTTAGTTCGCAAGGTTATTAGGTGTCACCTAATCGAGAGGCCCCAGGTTCGAATCCTGTTGGCGGTAGATGTTTGTGTGATGAATACAAGAATTTGTTCTCCAGTCATGGATGTTTAATATGAATTTCTATATAAATATACTTATATATGTATCAGTATCTGTATTCTATCCATTACCCTAGTATCCCACACAAGTCTACAGTGCTTAATTTGGGGCTCGGCTAATAGGTCTGAGTGTTGAAACTATTTATATATTTTATAAGATCAAAGAATAATCAAAGAATATTTATATTATAAATATTTGTATGAACCCAGATTTGCAAATAAATAATCTTTTTAACCATCATAATTGTAGGATAAATAAAGTTTAAAATTTGGCATACACGTTTTTATTAAAATTTTTGCTGTGATTGGAAAAAAACTAAATCGTATATATAAAATGTGCAATTAGAACTTTTTTCGCTATTTATACAGTAACTTGTATTTTATTGAGTGAATCAAATTATGATTTTCATCTAAAAGATTCTTATCTATGAAAGTGTCAGCATTACATGAATAATAGTTCAACAGCTGTGTTTATTTTTATAACTGTAATAATATTTTCAATGAATGCCAAGGTTAATTTGCAAATTAAACCAATACATTATCAAGGCTATTACATATACATAGAAGTTTGAATTTTGAAATTTAGTGTAATATAGTTTCCAAATAATTAATAATAATGTGATTATATACCCATATACCTTTACCATATAGATTTACAAAATTATGTATTTTATACTTCAAAAACAAGGTATGATTATTGATAATAAGACTAATAAAGCAAGTTAAAAATTAAACAACAGTCAAAGCAAAGACCAAACAAACTTTATTCTATAATAGGTCTACCTGTGGTATCAATGAATGTAGCTGTCAAAATCAGGTGTCAGGGAAACTGATTCTATGATTAAGGTATCATGCTTATTCTTATGGCTATGTGCGAAATATTTACATAGGTATGCGTACAAAACATGTTGCTTTGTTTACTACAGTGATTTATCTATCTGATTGCCCATCTGATTACGATAAAATGATGACACGTTCATCTGTCAGTCGTATTATAGTTAACAGAGTTCAAACGCACAGAAATTCACTGGTTAATCATACTTACCGATAAAAAAAGACGTAAACGACACAAAACAGGAGAAAACTACGTGCCGGTATGAAATTTTTTACATGAAAATCGTGAAAGCGGGTGGCCGAGACATTAGATATCGCAACGTCAGAGCCATCCAGCCATTGCACTTGCGCTGAATTGCGAATTATTTAAAGAAGTGCTAAAATCTGCAAACATCGGCCAGTCTATTGCAGTAAATGGCGCATAGCTGAATCAAGCTGAATAAATAAAGTAAAAAAATTGCATGACAGTACGTCAGTCCTTTTCAGCAAGTTTTTGGTTAACAGTATGCATTATGTACCTCGGTATCAGCATCTTCGGGTGCGTGGACGATATAATCGACTCACTGCCGTTACTTTACCTAAATTGATATTGAATTCTATAAATACTTACAAATAAAAATCTGGAATCACACCATTGTTTTTTCTTCTGCACAATCAGTAATCGATGTTGCTACACTTGAATAAAAAATACTGCGAAACGAAAGTGGGTCATTCATTGATCAATAATCATATGTCACCCAACAGAGTTGGTAGATCATAACTATTGAACAAAAGGAAAACTGAAAAAGTTATATATGAAGCAAAGATACCAATTCTCTTAATAAATACCTCTAACACGAAAAAAATGCCCTATTATGGTATTAATGATCATTATAGTTATTTAGTTTTTTATAAACCTTAAGCGGCCTATCAAAAAATATAAAGGAAAGAGTAGCGCTCATAACGTGAGATGACGAGCTAGCTAGACTAAGTAACAATCATTACGATAACATTAAAAAAAAAGTACTACTAATGTAGATTTTTTTTTTCATCTGGTATCCCTTTCAAAACCTTGTTCCATTGTATGCATACAAAATTATTAATATTACTTTTTGTTGGCCATTCATTATACACATACACATATGATATAACTTTAAATTTAATATTTTTTCCAACAGATAATAAAATATTTATGTTGTATATTGCAATGAAAATATTTTCAAAAATTACAGTTTTTAGGTAATAGGTACATACCTGTATTTGCGTTTGCGTACAACGTAACTTCAACGGCCGTCAGTCAATCAGTCAACTCAACTGCTGCGTTTAGAAATCCAATTATTAAATGGTACAATGCATTTTTTTTTATCATGCATAACATTTTTTCAAGTAAGATAAAAATAGATTTTTTTCGTTAAAAATATTTTTAATGATTTTAGAGATCGGATAAAATAAGATCAACTTTTATACTACGATTTCTGAACGAAACGCTGGTGATGTCGAATTTGTCGATTGTGTACATGGCATATTTTTAATTTTCTCTAATTTTTAGGTGAAATATGAAGGAAATAATTTAATTTATATTATTACAAAATGGCATTTGTCAGTGCAGTTACGGGTGACGACTGTACTAAAAAGTTCATGGAAGTTTTACAAAATGACTTCAAGACTTTGAGTTTGGAGACCAAGAAGAAATATCCTCAGATAAGAGAGGTTTCTTTCAGTTTACTTTAGTATTATACTTACCTCACTGACCTGCACATGTTAATATAATCCCAATATTCTTATTAATGATTTGGAGCGTTCTCATTACATATAAATGAGTAACTATTACAAAATAACACATACACAGTTTTTACTTTATTACATTTATAACACGGGATAAGTAACAAAGTCCCTTGTAGAAATTTAAAGGATACCGTTTTTTAATCCTATGAATAACAGTATCACAGAGCATACTTTTCTAAAATTATCCTAAACTTGTTATTTTGTATTTTCTTGCACAATTTAATAACTTTAACTAAATACTATTATCAATTGTGTTAACTAGATATTTTATAATAATGAAACTACTAACGGCAACACTCAGAGCTGTCATTAGATTTAATGCTTGTCAAAATGTGCAAATATTCAACCCTAAAATCACTTCAAATGCATTTTTTATATATATTTAAATCAAGCTCAGTTAAAGCAATGAGATGGTATGTCAAAGGTATAAATCTTTTATACCTGTCTGTAAAGTATGATGTAAATTAATTGGTTGTTGTGAAATCAGCACAAGTCGCTAGCCAGTAAACAATTTAGGTGTACATGAAGTATCCATCTATATGTCTAATTTCACAACTGTAAAGTGTCCCTTAAGGAGAAATAAAGCTTTAATTACAATAATGTAACTTATTATTATTGTAATTAAAGCTTTATTTCTCCTTAACAGTGATTAATTACATTTCACTGATTAAGTAACTATAAATACTTGCATGCAATGTAAATCTTTGCCTTTCCTTTTTAGGCTTGTGATGAAGCTATAGAGAAGTTATCTCTAGCCTCAAATAATCCGCAAGCATCGCTTTATGGAGTTGTTAACCAAATATTGTATCCTCTAGTGCAAGGATGTGAATCTAAAGATCTTAAGATTATTAAGGTAAGGGCTTATTTTTCATTCCCTACCTTACAGTTACAGGATGCCGATGCAGACACAAAATAAAAGTTTTATATTTTTAAATTATAGACTGACCACTCGCTTCCACCACCACTTGACTTCCACATGTGATTGTAAAAGCCTAAACTGAATAAATTAATATTGATTGAATTGAAAATTAGGTTAACTGAACAAGCCAAAATCTGCCTGATGGTGATAATGATAAAATTAATTCTGTCTACAAAAACTTGATATTAAAATACAAAGAACTTACTCGCAAATTCAACATTCTATACAGGGTGTAAAAAACCTTTAACAAAGTCGAAGGCCGCGTATTTTCCCCATCATGACGATATTTTTTTTCTTCTGGACCATACCTTTGAAATTTATGGTTATGGAAATATTGAAGGTCAAAGTCACAATTTTTTTTTCATGATTTATACATTAATATGTTCAAACGTTATTTAGAAACCTTTTTATCGACGCACTTACACACAGGCACATTCTTTGCGCGGCGCCACAGTAGCGCGCCGCGCTATAAATTGCGTACTGAAAAAAATGTATTTTTTTAACTTAAGTATATAAAAGATTCCCACATATAAATTTTGTAATATTACTTGTTTGGGTGTTGTAATTACTTTTTTACAGCCCTGTATGTGTTCTCTACTGCATTGAAATCTTTATTTAATTTAAAGATTCAAATGAATTGAAATGAATTTTGAAAATAGAACATTCATTTGTTTTGAAAATAATTCCGATCATTGTGTTTCTAGTTCTGTTTGGGGACTATCCAGCGTTTGATAGCTCAACAAGGCATAGACGCAAAAGGGGCGCGTCATGTGGTGGACTGCTTGTATAACCTTGGCCAAGCTGGAGTGCTGGAGCTGAAGCTACTACAGACGGCTGCATTGTTGATGACCACTTCAGACTTGGTGCATGGCGATACCTTAGCACGAGTGAGTAAAAATAATATCTAAAACACTAGTAGTTTACTCACTTTTCAGGTACAGTGACCCAAGCACGAATTTTGACAGACCCATAATCATATCATTTTTATGGAAACTAAGCAACACCCTTATAGGATGTTAGAACAAACTGGCTCCTTCCATACAAAATGAATTGATGAAGGTGCGATTATGGAGCTGTCATGCTTGGGATCTTTGTAGAGGCTCCGATACGTCAATGTTCTTAATTAATAAACATGCTTTACAAACTCGTTAAAGTATTACTTAATGAGTTTGTCCATGTTCTCTGGTCAGACGATGGTGCTATGCATGCGCATGGTGCCGGTGAGCGAGAGTCGCGACGTGAGCACGAGTCACGCGGCCGCGGCTACAGTGCGACAACTCGCCGCGCTTGTGTTCGAACGCGCGCTCGCTGAAGCCGACGGTATGTCAATATTACTATTTTTTTTTAGTTCTTTTCTTCCCTATTGGGAAAGGCAAAGACAAATCCATGCAGCCATATTCTTATTTTTGTATCAATCTTCTTTTTTTTTAATATTAGAATGTGAGTGTGATGCATTCTAATGTTTCTTGGAGTGTTTGGCACGAAATGTATCGAGTTGGCTTTTTCGATAAGCTTCTGTGAGGTAGTCAACACTACAATAAAGTTCTTACGCCCGTATGACCGAAATAGCGTATATTTTAAAGATTCCGCTAATTTTTCAGTTGCGCAGACTGTTGTAACACAAAATCACACCAATTTTCTTTCACAATATCCACTATTAACGAATTTAAGAATAATTAAAATAAGTTTAAACTATGTTTCATGCAAATAAACTTTCATTTCATTAAAACGGCGCCAACCGCACTTGATGAAATCCCACCAAAAATTCTCAAGATTACTACATATTAGGATATTTGACAAGTTATAGAAAACGATCACACGTTATTAACTAATATTTATGCAGTCCATAAAAAGTGGATAATTTTAATTCTATTGTGTAATTCAGTAGAAAAAAACTAAATTCAATTTTCAAGTTGCCGCGAAAACGTTTCTCTGCACATTATGGCGTCTCATTAGTATGTGACGTCACCACAGAGGTATAAGAATAGAATGCGAAAGGCGGCTCTATAAGTGTCCGTCTAGTAGAAAGAGAAAGAAGATGAGAGAAGGCTAGCTATCTCTCTCTCTTGTGACGCATGGCATCCAATGGCATTACATCGAAATAGTATGATGCTTACGGTTGCCAATGCGCATGCGCAATTAGAGAGAGAGCTAGCAGTCTCTCATCTTCTTTCTCTTTCTATTATAGAGATACTTCCACTTGTAGTAGAGTCTATCTCCCCTACTCTATTCTTATATCTCTATGGACGTCACACGACTGTCATTAAAGCGACAACGATTCAATGTAATGTCACTTTGGCCGAAAGTTTTCTAATGTGTGATTTGATTTTAGTCTTGGCCGATCCCAGACGTTTTTGGTCACGTGACTAAAGAGATTTTTTTTTTCTATTTAGTGATCATACAGAAAAGTTATTAATAATTTGTTCTTTCAGAATAGTAAAATTACTCTAATTAAAATACCAATGCCGGCAATTTCGTACTGTGAAAAAGTCTATTCCTAGCTTCCGCCCGCGATTACGGCCGTTATTTATTTATTTATCTTTAACAAAGTTTCAACAGCGATTTTAGTGCATTCAACAAAAAGTAAAAAAATGTCCAAAAAAACCTTTTTTTTAAGGGTGGATCACCCTTAACATTTAAGGCGATGAAAAATAGATGTTTTCCGATTCTCAGACCTACTGGATATGCATATAAAATTTCACGAAAATCGGTCGAGCCGTTTCGGAATAGTTCAATTACGCACACCGTGACACGAGAATTTTATATATTAGATAAAAGTTAGTTACACAAAAGGGATATATAAATTATGTGCTTTTATTACAGGGACATTAAAAGTAAACCCGGCGGACATACGCCCTCAAACTAACAGCAAAGCGCCGAAAGATTTGAAACCGTGCGCAGTGGATGCGTATTTAATTTTACAGGTAGCTATCACGCCATTAAAAACAAGCTTTATTACTTTTAACATTGAGGCGAAGTTACGTTAACACACTTCTTTGTCTGCAGGATATAATTCAATTAATAAACGGAGATTCGGCTCACTGGTTAGTTGGAATTTCGGAAGTGCCAAAGACTTTTGGGTTGGAATTGTTGGATACAGTGTTGACTGATTTCTCGCCAATTTTCTTCAAGGTAAAGGAAATTAACTGGTTTTTTATTCGTTATTATTATTCCTATTTGAATGTTGGTGAACTAAAGTGAGCATAGGCACTTAATTAATTACGTAGTATTTCGTAAAATATTTTTCAACACATTTGCTAAAAGATGCATTTATGAAGGTTGTAAACGAAAATTCAAAATTATGTGCCATACGGCATGAATGTATTTGGCTGAGCGTGCGTTAAAAATTCATAACGCACGCTCCTATACATGGCACCGTGCGTATTCTTTACGATTTTCTTTCAATTTCGATAGAATCTCCTCGGAGTCGCTTTTAGTCTATACCTTTGTCTCTCTGTAATACTGAAAAGAGAAAGAGACGAACGATGTAGTTTTAATTTTCACCACTAGCACGTGGCGCCATTCTCTTATTAAAAAAAAATAGAAAAAAAAATTACTTAAATTATGTAAAATCTTTTCTCGCAAATGTAAAATACAAATCGTGACTATCGTGAACCCTCGACTTCGTCTAGGGCTTACATTCGTCTACTCGTTTGTAATAACCAACTTACCGCATTTGTGTCATAAATAACTATTACTTAAAATTTTTTTTCCTCGTCTATCAAGTAGATTATCGAACAGTATTGGAAGTGTTTTCTTCTTTATTTACATATAATCAAAACTTTACAGAGATATATGGATTTGAAAGGTCCCATGAAGTCGCTTCCTGGTCTAATTTTTCCCCCCTTCCCCCACTTCCTTTTGACCTGACTTACTGCAGAAGTTTGACGTGCCTTAACTTTGTATTTTTTTGTTTGATTGTTAAGTTCATTGTTTCAAAATATATATATACTATGGGCAATGCCAGAAATAAATATGTATTAATAAAATTAAAATCTTTTATAGAGGTTTTAAAGCGTGGGTGTATATAAAAATGTAATGAAATTCTATTATTATTCTGTTATTTCCAGATACCTGAATTTCGTTTTCTGCTGAAGGAGCACGTTTGCGCCTTGATAATAAGACTGTTTTCGCCAAATGTTAAATATAGGTAAGTCAATCATTTTCATATAGGTGTAGGAATTTGGTTCACAGTGGAAGCAGCATTTTTATATCGCGTGACAATAAAATTTAAATATATATTAAATTACTTTGTACAATAACATCAGTTACATATTCTTCTTGAAATAGTTAAATTGATAAGAATTAGGAGGCTATTCATAAATTACTTCGCGCGGTTTTTTAAATTCCAATATTTAAATGCGAAAGGAAGTTTACTTGTTACGTTTGTGGCGTTTCCGAACGTCACGATATTTTCGTTATGTTGGCAACCACGCCGCAATGATCGGGTGGTTGGCAATAGAACGTCACAGCGGTCTCTCTTGCTCAGGCGCGACTCTTCGGTACAGACGTGTCATGTTGTAACTATACTGTGTACCTAGAATACGTAACTCAATCTTATATTGTGAACGTGCATACATTAAATATATTCTACGAAGTTCTGTGTTTCGTTTCTTCGCGCCTGCGTTCCTCAAGAAAAGGGAAGGCCGCCTCCGCCGGCAGTCATTCCCATACGTTTTTACACCTAAACTGCACAGCTTAATACTAAAATTTTGGCATAGATAAAGATGAGGCCCTAACAATTATTTCTTGCAATAAGTAATTTGAAGGCTTAACTTGAAGGGATGTTTGTATGAGAAACCAATTTTTTCATGGAGCTAGTGATGATATAAACTGACTAGTGGGTCCCGCGACTTCGTATGTAAATATAAACCAAAACACCGGTGTCCTTGTCATGCAGTTGTTGTCAGTCATTGTCAGATTGTCATTGAAAGACTGATGTTAAATTTCGTTTTAAGTTTAGAGAATCATGCCAGAATTGACACCATTGTTTATTTTCTTGTTCTTTGAAGGAATAAAGCAAATTCTTCAATAATAAAGTAAACGTATTTCTCTCAATTTCGGTTACCATTGTTTATCTTCCATCGTTCAGAGCTGCGTTCACGTCCCCGCATATACCGGGGGCAGGCGGGCCCCCCTCGGGCCCGGGGTCGGGGGCGGGGCCCGCCGGGGGGGCGGCGGAGCGCCCGCACTTCCCCGTCACCATGCGCCTCCTGAGGCTGGTCTCCATCATCATACACAAGTACCACGCAGTACTGGTACGTAGTGCTCTCTCTCATCCTAGTATTTATTTATTGATATGTAACATCGTTCCTCTCGCTTTCGTGCAATTTGTGGGAGTGATTACGTGAAGTGGGACGGAAGTGGAAGGAAGTTTCGGAAGCGCGCACTGTTTGATTTGATTTTCGAAATATATAATATTCAATTGGCTTATTCTTTTTGAAGTAGGTTTTATTATTTTTATTAATATAAGGTGAGGTTTCAAATGTTACACATCATACGCGACTACTGTAAAGCTCGCTCGTTTTTTTATTTATTTATTTCTAATTACCACGGCATAATACCATTTACAGCAATTAGTAGTTAAACAAAGAATAACAAATATGAGGATTCACACTCATTTTTCTCGCAAAACAATAGACAGTCATACATTCAACTCCCTCTAAGCCAAAATGTAATGTAAATAGACCAATATTTCTAAATCTTTTTTATAGAAAGTAAAGATGGTTGATGTAAATGTAACCAGATTGATTAGAAAATTCACATTTCAAAGTAAATTATTTGCTGATGGCTAAATGTTAACTATGACTTAATAAAAGTTCCAATAAAAAAAGAAAAGTAAACCACAACACAGTTATCTGTGGAACTTAGAAAAGATAAAATACTTTTCAATTACAGCAAAATATTTGAGCACAATTCCAGCAGGAGTTTCATTCAGATGTTATGTGTGAAACCCTATGAATCATGGGGTCCACATGGGAACCCCCATCAACCCTATTTATGTCCACCTACACCAAATATCACTAGTAGGTGATGTCATTAACTATTATGACATTGAACCCTAAAAAATAATATAATTATTAACCAGGTAACAGAATGCGAGATCTTCCTGTCTTTGACCATAAAGTTCTTGGACCCGGACAAACCGCTATGGCAGAGGGCGCTGGCGTTGGAAGTTCTACACAAGATGACTATACAGCCTAGTGAGTACATATATATTTAATTTTTCTGACGTCATCAGCCTATTAATGTCCCTACTGCTGAGGCACGGGCCTTTCCTATGGGTGGAATATGGAGATTGGGCATGACTCATCACGCGGGCTCAGTGAGGGTTAGTGGGTACTAACGACTGCAAAAGCAGCCGGGACCAACGGTTTAACGTGCCTTACGAAGCACGGAGGAGCTCGAGATAGAAGTTTTTGGTGACCCATCCAATATCCGACTATTGCGAAACTTGCTTAACTTTCACGATCGCAGGCCGAATGCGCTAACTACCTGCGCTAACGAGCTCCTTCAACACGGACGATAACTAGTCCATACTAATATTATAAATAGGAAAGATTTGTTGGTTTGTATTAAATAGACTCTAAAACTACTGGGTCGATTTGAAAAATTCGTTGATATTTGGAATCTACATTATCCCAGATAAACATAGCTATAGAGTATTATAAAAAAGTTGGGATTCCGTATGGAAACTTCGATAATGTAACGTTAAGTGTGAAAAAAAAATGCCAAAAAAAATTATATCGCGTATACTCCGGAAGTCATTGACAATAGAGCAAAGTGATGTACCAAAATATTTACAAAAAAGTCCGCGGTATTGTATGTCTAACTATTACAGTTATGTCATAACTAGAGGTTCGCTGCGGTTTCACCCGCGTTAATTTGAGGAAAAAGGGTATAGTGAAGTGAGTCACACTTGAATAATGCTCATATGCTGTCGCGGACTTTTTATATAGAACTTTTAACGGGGAGTAATTCCGTCATATATTATTTCCGTTTACGCAGCGCACGTAACGGAGGGTCAGGTCAATAGTTATTCATGATATTAGTGTGGTAAGTTGGTTATTACAAACGAGTAGACATACCATAGTCACGAGTTAGTAAATATCAATCCGCATGAATATTATACAACGTTTTGCAATACATTTGCGAGAAAACAGTATACTTAATTTATGTAATGAAGCAAACATTTTCTAATAAGAAAATGGCGCACATATCTAAATTAATTATACATATTTTGTCCCTTTTTCTTTTTAGTATAAAAGTGAGTTAAATGTACATCATAAAAGCGTTTCCATGGAAGTTCGATCGAAGTAAAGAAAATACCGTAAAGGATACGCACAGTGTCATATATGAGAGAATGCGGTAAAATATTTTACCGCATGCTCCGTTGTATGGCCCGTAATTTTGAACTTTCTAGCAATGTGTACAACCTCTGTGCAGAAATGCAGTTTTTTAGCAAATATGTTGAAAATGGAATATTTTAACCCGTTTAGCCAATTTTTTCATCTATGCTCCGCTCGTACTGGTCTTACCGTGATATTATATAGCTAAGCTAGCCTTTCTCGATAAATGCACAAGTTAAGCTAAGCTGAGAACAAAAACTACAGTCTACACCGAAGCGAAGCGAGGGCGGTTAAATCCTCATTACTACAAAACGCGGACTAAGGTTAGTTTTGGTTGAAATCTTATCCGCCTTATACCAAAACGAGTGGTAAAATTAGTCTTGGTGTATACCTAATACTGTCTTTGTCTTCTTTTTAGCAAACATAAGGGACAGCATCAGTTTTGGTGCAGGTTAAACTTTACTTTAGTCTCAGTTTCGTAATAAGGCGAAATGGCATCGCCTTCTTTTTAGCAAACAAAAGTGATAGCATGAGTTTTTCTCTAGGTTGAACTTAAGGCTCGTATTACAGAATGACAAATAAGTGTTGATCTTTACTTGAGTACAGTTAGAAAGGGATGTCGCTATGTGCTATACATAACGACATCCCTTTCTAACTGTACTGTTTTTATTATTAATAAAGCTAATCTACTCACTCATAAGGGCAATGGCTGAAAATCGGTATTTTGCCTTAAAACTTGCAAATGTTTAGCCGAGCCTTGGCCTTTTGCTTTCTGCAGCATACATATGGGTATTTCATAGCTGATTTCTTGTATCTTTTTTTTATTGTATTTCTCTGAAATGTATATCTATGTTGAAGAAGAAAATAAACGCATTATCTATCTATCTATCTATCTACTCAAGTAAAGATCAATACTTAGTTGTCATTCTGTAATACGAGCCTTAGTCTCCGTTTTGTAATAAGGCAGTCCGCCTTATTGTTGTTATAATGTTGTTACAGAGTTGCTACAATCGTTCTGCGAGTGCTACGACATGCGTCCACATGCCACCAACATATTCCAGGACGTTGTCAACGCGCTGGGTGCTTATGTACAGAGTTTGTTCGTCGCATCACAAGTCAATACTCCGGCTGGTTAGTTTATAATCAATAAATAGTTGTATTTATATTTTTTATGCATTTAAATATTAAATGTTTGAGTCTTAAGAAATTTTTTCTAGAATAATATCACTATAGTTGCTATTACTTCTTTTCAATGCTTAATACTTGAAGGTAATCATTTGACATTGTGGGTTACCTACAATGCGAAGAGATGGCGCTGCCTTACTGCTTAAGAATTACTAGAGAAAATTCAACACGGCCATCAAGGCTGCGGTAGCATAATGGTCAGTGCATTCGCCCGGATATCGAAGGGTTCGAGTCCCGTTTGCTGCTTGGTCCGCGTGGAATTTTTCTAGTATAATTTTCTTTAGATCTCTAATTGAGCACACATAGTTGCACGCTCTTACACATATTTCAATTTGACTTACAGGGGTCACACATAAAGTACGTCACACTGATTTTGTGAGTATTTCATCCCTAACCTGTCCTTGACACAGTTGGTCACATTTGTGAGTACTGCCCGCCTCCCAACCTCCCTAGTGTGACCTCTTATATTTTGCAACTGGAAATTATTATATTAAAATGGCAGTTCCGAAATTCGTTCCTAAATATTAGCCAACAAAACAAATTGAGACACATACAGATCGTGTTCTAAATATTTAAATGTTTTTTTTTATTGAAGTTTAAATGCTTTAGATTTTGAAATGTGACGTCCCGAAATTTAGAACCTCCTCCCTCCTCTTAACGTACGACGTTCTTTATGGATGACCCCTTATGGAAATTTGCAGTTACATCAACGAATTGGAAATGATATGGAAGCACTACTTTCTAACGAAAACCGCTAAAACATGGTTTCAAACTCAAACAACTAAATTTCAATAAAAACGTGACACTCACACAGACAAAACAACATTATTAGACATATCAAATATCTGCAAATGAATTCAGCTATCCAGTCATTTTGTAAGATAATGTTAACCGGAAATCCTAACCAATCCCATGATAGGCGTGTTGATCGCAGTTTTTCGCCCCGCCCACTTGTACGCAGTTTGCATGTAACAATTTTTAGCGCCGCTCGTATTCCATATCATTTAAATTGCCAGTGGCATAATTACACGATAAGTGATAGGTGAGGATGCTGGTTCGATGCTAGTAATAATAATTTTCTTTGTGTATTTAAAACTTACAAGTCGATTATTTTCTATTAATAATTTTCTTCTGCTAGCCAAAACTTTTGTCATTTCATTACACAAACAAGAATAAAATAGTTATAATTTTTATTCTTTAAGCATGTAACTGCTTGATGTTTGAATCTAAGAATGAAATAAGAATAAAATAAATAAACATTCCATCTAAGTCCTAAATCTCCTCCCTTTAATATCGTGGAACCAATCCTCCGGGTCAGGTACGTGGTAAGAACTATCGTAGTCTATGTTTGGTATGATGACGTCATAGAAATGCCCTGTGACGTCAGCGCTGCTCAACACCACCGGTTCCCCTAGCCGCATGTTCTTTTTATCCTCTTCTATTGCCTCTGAAATTCCTGGACGTGCTATGCCTTCGATAGATTCTAAAGCTCTTCGGTCTAGAAATACAGAAGAGTGACTAATATACATAAACAGTAAATTATGATATATATACTGCCGTCCTCAAACTAATGTGCGGCTAAGTGATATGTGGTCGATTTCTCAGTATTAAATTGCATCTTATACGGTTTTTAATTCTTTAACAAGTATTCGTATCTTTTATAGTTTAAGTCTAAAAATCCTTCATTTAAAGAATGGTTGCAGAATAGCAATAATTTAAAGTTCACACGCCGTTTTTTGGCCATATCTCAAAAGTTGGTTTTGTCATTTAGCCGCGTTTTAGCTTGAGGACAGCAGTATACACTAAAAAACAAAATAAGCTGGTGTGCTTATGACCACACGACTGAAGTGGAACTTCTTTAGCGTCAATGATCTGAAAATCATAAACTTAACCTGAAGTTTTGTTGATAGAAAAAAACACCAATCCGCGCTGGGTCCGTTATCACTGTCCAATTCGCACTGGGTCCATAATAACCCACCAATCTGCGCTGGGTCCGTTATCACCCACCAAGCACTAGATTAATGAATTTTGTGACGGGTATTGTTCATTGTTTACCGATGAGTCACCGATGACACTAATCGTAACGCGAAATCGTAACACATTCGCCAGTTTACCCCCCAAGTCAAGCGTGCCTAAAGAAGTTTCACTTCAAAAATAAAAATAAAACAGAGTCTCGCGTCTACTGGTACAGTTAACAAACAGTCACACGTCAATTTAACAAGTGCGAGAGTGGTTTGGTGGTTCCGTGGTACATACTAAATGAGAATGCGCAAATCCGGTTTACAGACAGTACTAGCAAACCAGTGAACCAAATGTTCACCAAAACCTGATTAAAAAAAGGTATTTAATTAATTGAGAACTTCGGAGATTTTGTATGGTTTCGTTTGAAAAGATTTAGTTAAAAAAAATAAAAAAAAATTAACCTTTAAATAGTTAATTATAATTGTGATAATAACAAAATAGAAATCACGTGATTTCTCGAAAACCGGAAGTGCTACGTTACTCAAATCCGGTTTGTAGTCTTATCAGACTATTCTTAACTTATAACTTAAATATTCTCTTTATCTATCTCTTACGGTTTGGCCGCTGAAACAGCACCACAGACAGACGGACGGACGGACTTGTCTAATAGTTAAGAGATATTGCAAAGCACATGGAAACTAGATAACACAAAGTGACGTGAGGGGTCGTTGAACATAGATCGCGGACTGGCGGCGGGAAGTCGCTTTATACTGCGCGTAGGCATCGTTATGAACTAGTATCAAACTACATACCTTAAAAACAATAAAATAAAAATTAAATATTAATGAGCGCGTCGCTAACATATGGGTCACTAGCGTTTAAAGGGAAATTTTGAGAAAGATATGGCCCTGTCTGGCAACCAAAGAAATACTAAGAGAATTTCGACACGGGCACTAATGTTGCGGTAGCATAATTGGTCAGTGCATCCGCTCGGATAGCGGAGGATGCCGGTTCGAGTCCCGTCTGCTGCCTGGACCACGTGATTTTTTTTCTATTAAAATTATTATAGATTTAAACTCAAGCAGCAGCGTCTATAGGTAAACCGCTAAATTGAGACCTCCCCTGCGGGGTATAGGGTATGGGGGAGGACGAGAACGGGGGCCGGAGAGGTGCGGGCGGCGGGCACTTGTAATTTCGACAAGAATGTGCCTGCCGGTCCTCTCACGGTTAATAGCAGTTAAATATAAAAACGTAATAAATCGATAATGATGTCGATTCTGGCATGATTCTCTAAACTTAAAACTAAATTTAACATCAGTCTCTCCTTTTCATTCTGTGTAGGGAATGACAAGGATACACTGTTTTGTTAAATTTAAGTTAAGGTTTAGTGAATCATGCCAGAATCGACACCAGTGTTTATTAAAAGTTGTGGTATCCCCAATTGTCTACGCCTGGCTCCCTCTCCCTCTTTGATTTGGATCTTTGGTTCAAACCAAGCAGAACGTTTGTATATTGAATAAAGCAGTAATTAATTAATTTTCGCAGTTTTATTGAATAAATAATTAAAAGTGTAGATAACTCACAAGCCGGTTTTGCCGTCTGGGTGTCGTTGAAGTCGTTTTCCAGGAGCAGTTTTCCATAGGCGTCCGTAAGCGAGCTGCACGCCCGCATGCAACCCCTATAGGAATCGAACCGGTTGCTGAGAGTTGGCTCCGGACACCCGAGCCGTTCCCTGATAAACAATTAACATACGTGGAAAATTTTATTATATTTTTAATTTTAAGCTAATTGCTTAAAATTATTACTGCTAGATTTTATTGAATGTAAAGAAAAAATTACTAGAAAAAAATCCACGCGGTCCAGGCATCAGACGGGATTCAAACCCTCCCCTTCCGTACGGAATCTTTTATGGAGTCCTATATTAATTGCATATTCTTCATGTTCCTCTTCCTCAGCCAAAAGGGCAATAATTTTTAAGTCCCTATCAACCATATTGAACACGTCTGCTAACGTCGGATTTTGGCATCAAACTGGTCATGCAGGCCCGCCTGATCCCAGCCCCAGAGCCCCAGAGCATTTTTAACGGAGTTTGTTTACAGAAAGCGAGCATTCCGCCTGCATGGTCGAGTAGTCAAAATGTTGCTCGACCACGCATTTTGCAGTTTGGTGTGCGCTGACCTTTATAAACAGACATTTACTGTCTGTGCGTGCTCCATCTTAGTCTTCATTCGTGCTCTCTACTTGGTGAATTCGGACAAAAAAAAGCAAACCACACAAAGCCATGTCAGCCACCATATTCTCGGCCATTGCGAAACTCACTTGACGTGCGCAATCGAAACGCGCTAAACACGGCCTTATCTTGTTACCCATAAAGACTAGATTTAGCTAAACTTCTCACGTGCAGTTCTGCGACTGCAACACGTAAGTCCACACGACTACGACTGGCTGTATGCACTTGCCGGGCGAGAACCGGCGCGAGCACCGCGACTGGTAGCCCCGGTGACTGCTGGGTATCGCCATCCATTTCTCTACCTCTTCCACTGATACTGTGAACAATGTTCAATTATAAATGAATAGCACAGGCAAAGAATGATCAAAGTCACTCTAAAACTTCTTTGAGGTTAATAACGCCATCTAGTGCGTAAAACGCTAAGCTTGCCTGTCACTAGGCATGAAAGGAATATAAACGTACAAAGTCACCATAAATCACGTTTTATTTTTTTGCATAAAAGTTATTAGTGATCATAGTCTATCTATGAGGAGCTCGATGGCGCAGGTAGTTAGCGCGTTCGGCTGCGATCGTTGAAGCTAAGCAACTTTCGCAGTGGTCGGTCATTGGATGGGTGACCAAAAATCTTCTATCTCGAGTTCCTCCGTGCTTCGGAAGGCACGTTAAGCCGTTGGTCCCGGCTGCATCTGCAGTCGTTAGCACCCGCCAATCCGCTCTGGGCCCGCGTGGTGGGTCATTCATGGCTCAATCTCCCTATTCCATCTATAGGAAAGGCCTGTGCCCCAGCAGTGGGGACATTAATAGGCTGACGATGATCATAGTCTAAGCGGTAAAAGTTAAAAACGATCAGAGTCCGAGGACTCATCGTTCTTACAAGTTTTCGAATGAATAGTCAAACGTCAGTCTTTTCATCAATTCTTGTTTTTGCACTTTGGCCGACAGAGCAAGAGAACGTCCTCTGTCGGCCACCGTGCAAAAAGAAGAATTCAAGAAACTTATGGACCTGAGATATCTTACAGTGAGCTAGTTCCAATTAAAAAGGCTCTGTACAGTGATTTACAACATTTGAAACAATTTTGCTCCCAAAAAGCTTAAGATTATTTTACTAATCTGCCGCAATTACAGTGACTTTGATCATTTTTGAATATTTCCACATTTTCATTGATATGATTTAGGTTTGGGCCTGAACTTCAAAAATATTAAATAATTGTCATTAGAAATACAAAATATTTTTATTTTTTAGTAAATAATGAAACCAAAGTAATTGCAGTGATTTTAAGACAGAAATTATTATTATTGTGTCATTTCTTCAAGTAGTTATGAGTATTGTAAGTTAAGAAATCATTTATCTTCTAATTCATAAAAAGTGACTTTGATCATTCTTTCCCTGTACTCTTCAAATCCTAACTAATATTATAAAGGGAAATGTTTAAAATATTCAATAAAACTAGTTTTTTACGGGTTAATGCACGAAACTTTATTTATTTATTGACGTTTCGTAGCCTTTACAGGCTACGTCGTCAGAATCAAATTTTATTTAATTTTGTCGAGCTACCTTCAATTTAATAAAAAGTCTTTCGAAGGTAGCTCGACAAAATTAAATAAAATTTGATTCAGACGACGTAGCCTGTAAAGGCTACGAAACGTCAATAAATAAATAAAGTTTCGTTCATTAACCCGTAAAAAACTAGTTTTTTTTAATGAGTGATGTGCGTGAAAACCTAAGAAATAAATATGTTTAAAATATTCCTCAAAAAATATGGTCACTTAAAAATACAGTTGGTAACCAACTTTTACGGTTATGTACTTTGTGGCGCTGCTGCTGTTCAAGATTCCATACGAAATGGAAATGACATTTCGCACTCGCAAACTATTCGAATTCGATATTGGTTCGCGCTAGGGGTACAGTAGTTAACCGAAAATTGCTAATAAAAATTCGAGTTTCGGCTCCCAATGATTTCCTCCATGAAAAATAGATATATGTTAACGATATTTTAATTTTACCCATAGAATAATAAATAGTTATTCTATGCCTCTATGTTTAGCTTTTTTTGTAAATGCTTATTAAATCTCCACATAAGACTTCTTTAGTGGTGATAAAAATTTGTTTATTCTTGGCATTTTTGAGGGCTTCTAGTTTCTTTGAAACACAAGTTATCGAAAAAATGAAGATATAGAAGCATAGAATAAGTAAAATTATATTTTATGTATGAAAATCAATTCTTTAGTGATAAAAATCAAGGAGGCATCAGCCGAGAACGTTCGTATAGAAAAAACATTGCCCGCGTCCCCTTTAAGTTAACGAGACATCAGATCCGATCAGATATGGTGTTTTGATAACCTAATTATTATTTAGTTTATTACCATTGTCCACATAAAATACATTAGATGAGGCAAAACTTGTAATCACTTCGCTTATAAGCAAAATATTACACAATACAAACATTCTTTTATTATATTTAAGTTTTTTCAATTTGATATTTGTATGACACTGAAATAAAAGCTCGGCCATCTAGATCGAATAAGATATGCAAACAAGAGTTTTCCGTTAGACCACATTTTAGGAACGTAAATACAGACGAGTAGTTAGTTTAGGGTTGTTTTTTATGACAAAAAGGTCGCAAACAAACATCTGTATCAAAGATAAAATTAGATATCAAATGAACATCCGCGTTGCATACCCTGTCCAATATCACGTGGAGCTCAGGAAACCATATTCGCCTAAAGAAACATTATCACCAAAAGGTAGTTTTAATTCACTGCGACATGTATAACTATATTAAAAAAAAATGAAAAAAGTTAACCAATACAAAGCAGGACCCAAAATAGGTCTATATGTCAACGTAGTGATGAGACAGTAGAAGTTGGAAAAAGCTCGATCATAATATTCTATTTGACAGTACGAAAACTTAAGTACCAATTGTTGGCATCTCTATTTAATATGAATATTAACAGCGATTTTATTATTCTGGGAGAGCAAATAATTAATAACTTTTCTAAAAAATCATTAAATAGAAATAATTTTTTGGTCTTCGGTCACGTGAACGAAAACGAATGGGATTGGCGAAGACGAAAATGACAACACACACTAGTAAACTTCCGGTCAAAGTGATATTACATTGTTGTATCGTTTTATGTTTTAATGATAGTCGTGTGACGTCACATGCTAGTGAGACGCCATGATGTCCAAAGAAACGTTTTTGTGGCAACTTGAAAATGGATTTTTTCTTATACATAGTTTTTATACTGTAATACACAACAGGATGATAAATATTTACTTTTTATGGACTACATAAACATTCTCTTATATACACCCTATTGATGTTGATTGTTGGTATTTAAAGGCTCGATCATAATTTTTATTATATTTTCAGGCGCGTCAGGTATACCGCAGCAGTCAGGCTTCTATTGGAAGGGGGTGTGGCTGCCATTATGTGTCACCTTCGAACCGGGCACTGCGAAGTCGGTTTAGTAAGTCTTTTTCTAATCATATTGTTGACAAAAAATAATCAAAACTCAATGTTTGCCTGGGCCTGTTAAAAATTGCCGTCGCAAATATTTTTTAAATTATATACATTTTCAAATAGCGACTTTTTGATCTCTATAGTTCAATCTCAGAACAAAAACTAAAGCCGTCTTCTATACGTTTAAATTCAACGTATGGATCAAGAATGGGACAAATATGTGTTACTATGAACAGATTGCGTACCGCTTCACCGTCTACAAACGTCAAATTGGATACATTGGTTACCTTTATGATACCGAATCAAAAAGCGATCTTAGGACCGTATTACAAAATGACAACTAAGTGCTGATCTTCACTTGAGTACAGTTAGAAAGGGATATCGCTATATGCTATATATAGCGACATGACTTTCTAACTATGCTCAAGAATAGATCAATCACTGAGAATCTTTCTATAATACGGGCCTTAATGTCTTCGTCTTCTTCTTTTACAAAATGGCGGTCGCTTCTGTTGACTCCGTTGATTCTGTTGAACTCTTGTTCTGTGGGTTAAATAGCTATGGTCATCTATGCTTGTGCGGTCCCGTGCTCATCGGTTATGTATATTTATTTATTTTATTTTATTTTTAAACTTTATTGACCAAAATATAAATATATAACATTGGTGCAAAAGGCGGACTTAATGCTAAAAGCATTCTCTCCCAGTCAACCTTTGGGAAAAATGAAAAACACGAATGGCGGTATAAAGCTAAATACGAATATATATACAAATTAACATAGATACATATATAAATACATACTATAAAAATAATATAATATAAACAAACAAAACACACTAATATTTAAATATATACAGTATACACATATATATATATACACACATATATGCACAAGATGATGATTAATAAAATGACACTTCATCTTAAGTTTTGCAACAGATGAGCATGAACATTCCTTTTAAATATAAATAATAATAGTGGCACTTCATATGGTTATTCGGTATTTGAGTAATTGTATTCAATTTATATGACAGACTATTTCCCATTCCAATATGACCATCCACCCATAACGGCTTATGACGAAAAACCACAGAATAGATAGATATGACCATAATTGGTACTATTTGTAAATAAAAATAAAATCCAATTGCCAATATTTGACAATTAAAGGAATTTTCCCATTGCGATAGTTGTCGAACATTAAAAAAAGCAAATAGGAATATCCATGTAAAATGCCACTCATAAAACGAACTGTTCTATTTAGGGCTTGGTTTTTTTATTATCCTCGAATGTAAGACGAGCGGACGGGCCACCTGTACCCCTTAGCACGAACCATTATCTAAAAAAAGGGAAGATACGGTACGCTCATACTAGCATCAAATATAATATGCTCCGACTCAACTACATCTCATCTCATACTCTCATACACGCACACGTCTGTATATAAACTTTCGAACCGTGATTTTTGAGATTTTTTTTTATAGTTTTACGAATGAAAAGTGTTGCCGAAGCATTTGTTATTTGATTTTGAACTATTTGTGTTCTTCTTTATAAAAGCATCGAAAAGGCATTGTTTTATCTTTGAAACACAGAATATACACAATGTTGTTATGCACATGCAGAGTGTTTAAATGTCCAATTGTGACTAAAGCGAATTGTGGTCATGCACCACAATTTAAGCGAATCACTTTTAAACCGTGAGTGCCGTATTTTCCCTTTTTGTTTTAATCTAAGTATAGAACTTGCCATTTATTTGTTGTAGTATAGAAATGTTGGACCGCAACGAGGCGCCGACGATTCAGGACGGTTACGGGATTTCGGTGGCGTACGCTTGCCTCATGGAGATCATTCGGTCCATAGCAATCACTGTCGAGGGGCAGGAATACTTCAGGTAACTATTATTTTGTACATCAGAGTTTCTCAAACTTATATTGTCTACTTTCGATATATATATATATATTCGATACTTTTTCAAAAGTAGCTAAGTTATAATTTTAATGGGGGAGCTAGTTTTGATTCTGAAAGAAAATTTAGTTTGTCTAAATTTTAAAAATCGTGTAATTCCAAATAGTCATAAGAAAGCATCAAATAGAGCAGGAATAAAAAAAAAGGTGCTGTCAGCAACATATTCTTTATTGTAGATTATAAAATATTTTCATTGAATACTTTTGTATTTTAGGCTGCAGGAGCTATACGAGGATGGACAGAACGAGACTGATGATAAAGAAGTAAACTCGAATAAAAACGGTGTTAGTCAGAAAGGTAAAACTAACTGCAGATGAAAGGGTGACGTTAGGATTGAATTATCGGCCAGTTTCAATAATCTGCAGTAAGAGATACTTGCTAGAGACTTCTTCATCATCATCAGCTTATAATGTCCCCACGGCTGGGGCACAGGCCTTCCCTATGGATGGAATAGGGAGATTGGGCCATGACCCACCACGCGGGCCCAATGCGGATTGGCGGGTGCTAACGACTGCAGGTGCAGCCAGGACCAACGGCTTAACGTGCCTTCCGAAGCACGGAGGAACTCGAGATAGAAGATATTTGGTCACCCATCCAATGACCGACCACTGCGAAAGTTGCTTAAATTCAACGATCGCAGCCGAACGCGCTAACCATTAGCGCCATCTAGCTCCTTGCTAGAGACTTGCAAGATATTTATTATTCGTTAAAAATAACTGTTGCTGCTAAGAAACGAAATGAAGATATATTTATATATACTGAAGATTGATTTTGATACTGGCCGTTAGTGACTAACTAATATGACTATTTTCATATAAACTATAGGCCCCGTATTAATAAAGGCAGAATAAGCTTGGATTAGTTAAACCATGTTTTGCCTCTGTTCTTTAAATGTCAAATGGCATTTCAGTGAAATGAACAAAACACGGCGTAACTAGTCTAAGTTTATTCTTTGTTTATTAATAAGGGAGTTTAGGTATTAATTATTGTTAAGCTTAACTTACCAAAATGAAACATTTCAGACTCGGAGAAAAAGACTGAAAATAGTGAAATAACAAATAATGGCCACAACGGCGAAGCGGATCAGAATTCAAATGTCGTTCAGAAAATTGACGAAGAGCAAGACAAGGAGATGCAGCTGAAACTACAGGTACTATATTGATCACATGTCCCTTTGATTACAATCTTGCACTCATTTTGATTAATTACTGGACTTCGTACACACTTGATATCAAGTGGGATAAAGAGACGACTGAGCGTTGCCTATCTAACTGTAAAGTAGAACAGTATCCCGTCCGAAATGTTAATGTCAGGAAACTTGCACAGCAGCGCTACAATGGACGTAACAAGAACTTAAAATCAGTACACATTTGACAATGACATTTCGGACTCGTAAACTATTCGAATTCGATACTGGTTCGTGCTAGGGGTACTGAGCAGATAAGTGTGAGGGAGACCAAGCTCCATCGCTCTCCCTCCCTCTCTCTCTTTCAAAAAATCCTAAAATTCAGGCCAGTGTTGTTCAGACCACTCTCTATATATTAATGGGTAAAGCCAATTGTGAAGAGTTCATAAAACGACTCCTGGGATTTTAATAAATCAAAATAATAAAAGTTAGTAATTGAACTAGATATTCGACCACTTGCATTATAATTTACTTTCCTATTATTCTTGCAGCTGTTAAAATCGTCATGGTGCGGTCTGGTGTGGGGTTTGTCTGTACTTGCTGAGGCTAGTATCGGCGAGCTGGAGAATATACTGCGAGCTATACAGACCTTGGCTAGAGTCAGCGGGAAGGTATATTGGACTTAAAGTTGATAAGAATAGAGTTCATTTTCCACTGTGTATATATATTAGATAGTGAGTGAATGCTTCATAGTTAAATACTTTTTTATGACAGTATTTATTTATTTTGTTCTTAATTTTATTGTGTAGTTTGGCAACATGTGAATTTATGAAAGTATCTTTAATTTTTCCGTAACGTGGACTTAAGTTATTATTGGTTTTTCTATGAAAGTATCTTTAATTTTTCCGTAACGTGGACTTAAGTTATTATCGGTTTTTCAGACTTCGCTTTGGCGAACACAAGTAACAGCATCATTTTTAAACCGGGTACTGATAAGAAAATTGGTCTATAACACATAAGAAACAGTGTTCTTATAGAAATTAAAAACGTGTATATAGAATGAAATACGATGCCGTGTAATTCGTTTTCTATTCTGGAACTAATTGTGCACTTTTTAAATTTGCCGAGGGTATTGCTATATCTGTTTCGTAATATGGTTTTTTTATGTGCACGTGCACCTTGTTCGTTTATCAAATTGTGAGTAAACCGAAACGGTGTGCATGAATAAATTTACCTCTTTATTATAGCGCTTTCGGCTGCGATCGTCGAAGTTAAGCAACTTTCGCAGTGGTCGGTTATCGGATGGGTGACCGAAAATCTTCTATCTCAAGTTCCTCCGTGCTTCCGAAGGCACGGTAAGCCGTTGGTCTCGGCTGCATTTGCAGTCGGTAGCACCCGCCAATCCGCACTGGGCCCGCCTGTGTCCTAAGCAGTGGGGGCATTAATAGGCTGATGATGACCTCTTTATATCGTAGGTAGGGCACGCGGTAGGTCGTGACGCGTGCATAAGCGCGTTGTGTCGCGCGGCGTTGCCCGCCCAGTACTGCGTGCCCGCGCTGGGGGCGCTCCCCTGCCCCTGGAGGCGGGAGCCCCCGCCCCCGCCCGACCCCGACTACCGGCACCAGGTCGTGTGGGTGGGGACTCCGCTGCCCTCCGCCTCGCTACCCACAGGTATATATACATCCTAACAGCTTTAATATTACTTAAAGAGGCCGTCGTTATCGGGATCCGGAAACCCAGCAAGGACGGCGCCTTACTCTCTAGCTACCGCCCTATAAGTCTCCTCAAAACGCTGGGGAAACTTTACGAACGCGCTCTCGCTAGCAGCCTTTAAGATTTTCTCTCCGCTTCACGAACAATGTCATTATGAATGATCAGTTTGGTATCCGTCCCAAACACTCGTGTGTCCACCAGGTGCACCGCCTAACGGAGCACATCCTCCACTACCGCGATCTATTTCGAGCCTCCGCGGTTCCCACAGGTGCGGTCTTCTTCGACGTGGCAAAAAACATTTGACAAAGTCTGGCACAATGGCTTAATTTATAAGCTATACAAACTCAGAGTGCCGGACAGACTCGTGCTCATCATACGGGACTTTCTGTCGAATCGCTCGTTTCGCTATCGCGTTTCCTCGCCTTGCCCTTTACGCGCCGGTGTCCCTCAGGGCTCGCCGCTCTCGCCTATCCTCTACTCGTTCTTTACGAACGACATGCCCAAGACTCCTAAGGTCGATCTCGCGCTTTTCGCCGACGACACCGCCCTCTATACCTCCGATAGACGTCTCAGAATAGTCTGTGATAGACTTCAATCAGCCGCGACCACCCTTGGCGATTGGTTCCGTAGATGGCGTATCGAGGTTAATCCAGAAAAAAGCGTCGCGATCCTCTTTAGCACGACACCACCTCCCACACGTTCTCTGCCGAGCATCCAACTATTTGACCGGGTCATCCCCTGGGAAGACCGGTTCAAGTACTCGGAGTCGGAGTCACGTTAGATAACCGATTGACGTTTGCACTTCATCTCAAGATAGTTCTTGATCGCGCAGCATTCATTCGCAGCAGGCTATTCCACCACATAGGGAAGCGTAGTAAAATGTCACTTAGGCAATTTACAAAACTTGCATCCGCCCTATCATGACCTACGCAAGTGTTTGCTTCGCCCACGTACCTCCGTCGCGTCTTAAACCGCTACATACGCTACAAAATCATATGTGTTGCGCGGTGCCACGTGTTGCCCGTGGTATATGCGCAACATCGATTTGCATCGCGATCTCAAATTAGACTCCATCGCGTAATATATGAAGGACGCCTCGAGACGTTACTTAGATAAAGCCGCGCATCATTCGAACTCATTAGTAGTTAAAGCGATAAGTTATCATACGTCCGCCTTCCTGTCCTCCAATCGTAGGTCCCTCCGATTCCGTCGGCCTAGGCACGTCTTAGACTACCCCGACGACGAAATCACCTGCGTCAACGCGCCTCCGACTCCTCCCACACAGGCCACAAGCATCAACACTACACAGCTAGCAAACTTGCACACTAGCTCAGGAAGACACCGCACCCGTAGGATAAGAGTTCGAAGACTACCGGTCTACACACGACACGCTATACCAGGTACAGGTACGTACCTGGGCGTTTTTCCCCGCCCTCCACGACAACGGCTAACTAGAACCGAGTCTCAGAGCCGCCCTCTAGTTGAGACGACCCCCTCATGTTCGAGTGGTTTAGAGGCTCCAGACGGAGAGGACATTTTAATTATATTTTAATACAAAAGAATCGTATCGTAAACATAGCCGGCCATGCTATACCATGTTTTGTTCGGAAAAAAAGGAGCATATTATACTTTTTTCTTAGCTCCGCTTTTAAATAACTGCCATTCATGGATACGTAACTCACATTTGCCATAATTAATCTTTAGTTATTACCAAATATTCACAACATTATCTTCTATACTTATAATAAATCTGTAGAGATGTCAATTCTGTACATGAAATATATTTTTAAAATAACTATCAGGGGGTGATTAGTGATCGATACTGATGCCAAAAATGCAATCAGTAAATTTTTTGTCTGTCTGTCTGTCTGTCTGTGTGTTTGTTCCTTATAGAAACAAAAACTACTGGACGGATTTTAACAAAACTTGGTACAATTATTCTTCATACTCCTGGGCAGGTTATAGTATACTTTTCATCACGCTACAATCAGTAGGAGCAGAGTAGTGAAGGGAAATGTTGGGAAAACGGGAGAAGTTACTCCATTTTTTAAGCTTCCGTCGCGTGTGCAGCCTTAATGATTAAAGTTACATAGAAATCATGTATGACGGAAATATTCTACATAAAATTGTCTAAAAAATATCCCGCAACAGCATATGTCTATCTTTTATGGTTGACTCACAATAACACGTGTAACTCCCGATAGCTTAGCAGTTCGGAGCATTCTGATCATATTTGTTTACTCTTACGTTTATAATACTCGGTATAGAAACACCAAACTTATACATGAAATAAGCCATCGCGCCGTCGCACGTGAATACTGAATCATGCTATAAGGATTATTTTTGTGTAACGGTTGCCGCGCTCGACACGGGTCGCGGCAGCGGTAGGGTATCAAAGGTCCGAGAGCGAGCTGTCTAAATCTGTTTTCTGCGTCGCTCCCCCCCTGGGGGACGATCGCTTCCGATGAAGCCTTAGAGGCCTTCCCGGCCAGAGACATAACCTTGCAGCCGGCTGTAGGGTATCCATGAGGATTTCTCATCTGCTCCCCCGCCTGGGAGACCGAAACCGTGCTTATCAGCGCGACTTTTAGTCTTTAAATAGTTTATTTGAATTTCTTTTGTTGTTATTTTGTAAAACAGGTATTAGTTGTTTTGGTAGTGTTTAAATATTCGTTCAAATTAAAAATTATTAAGCGTCGGTACTTTTATTAATTAAAGTAGTTGTAAGTATTTATTTTTAAGTGAAGGAGGTATAGGTAGATAGTATTGCACAGGCGTTTCAGATTTATTTTCATTTCTTTTTTGTTGTGAGTTGTATATGTTTCTGGTTATAATTCTATAAGAATATTTTAGTTCAAATAGTCACTTAGATTTTATGTGTAAGGTAGCTAAAGTTAGGACCACGTATTAGTTGTTTTGGTAGTTTATTTCATTTAGTGTTTAAATATTCGTTCAAAGTGTAATTTAATCATATAGGATGAATGTACGATGGCCCATCGAAAAGGAGTAGAAGCGGTAGACAGAACTTTAAGAGATATAAGACAAAATGATCGACCCATGGGCGGTATCACAGTTTTATTTTGTGGTGATTTCCGACAAACCTTAACGGTAATACCACGGGGAACCCGAGCTGCTGAGGTTAGGGCTTGCCTGAAAAGCTCTTATTTGTGGCGTGATATACAATCGGTGCATTTGACTATAAATATGCGAGTGAGAACTGTAGATAACCCGGATGATCGTAAATTTTCTGATATATTATTAAAGAAAATACCTTCACCAAAGATACCTATCCACTGCTACACCAAGGAAAACTTATTCTGACGCCTGAGTTATGTTGTATAGTGCAATCCCAACAACATCTTACATCGTCAGTTTACGGTGACGTAAAAAATTAAATAAGAACAATTCTTGGCTATGCGAAAGGTCCATTTTAACTCCTCGCAATGACCAGGCATCTGAGATTAATAATAAAATACTGTCGAATATCCAGGGGGAAAGCAAAGTTTATAGTTCAATAAATAGAATGGCCGATGAACAAGAAGCCACTAATTACCCGATAGAATTTTTAAATTCTTTAAATATGCCCGTACTTCCTTCTCATGAAATTTGTTTAAAAATTGGCATTCCGATTATTCTGCTCCGAAATTTAAGACCACCACAAATTTGCAATGGAACTCGGCTTAAAGTAACCCAGTTGCAACAAAATGTAATCGAGGCTCAAATTTTAATAGGTTGCGGTGCAGGAGAAACCATCTTTATTCCCAGAATTCCCATAATACGAAATAATTTTCCATTCCAATTTAAAAGAACGCAATTCCCAGTATCGGTGTGTTATGCAATGACAATAAATAAGGCTCAAGGGCAGACCTTTCGTGTTGTTGGAGTAGATCTCGGTGTCAGTTGTTTTTCACATGGTCAGTTATGTCGGTCTTTCCCGGGTTAGCAGTCCTAGAATTTTTTATGTTCACGTTCCGGACGGGTCAAATTTCAACGTAGTCTACCCGGAAGCTTTGCGCTGAAGTATTTTCATTCTATATGTACTTAAGACTCATGTGAAAGCGATCTAAACAATATTACCAATACATTAACATAATAACATACAAGGAGTTACACGCTGATGGTCTCGGGGCACAGTGATAATAATAATATTCTGCGGTTCCTTATTGCGATATTTTTAACAGTATTATATTTCCTTACTAAAATACGAAAGTTAATCTGTCTGTCACATCAAAACCACGGAACCCTGAGGAAGGACATATGCTACTTTTTTACGAAAAACGACGATAACGCGGACGAAGTCGCGGGCAAAAGCTAGTTTTAAATAAAAATAAAGCCGCGTAGTCATCCTACAAGCAATAACATTTGACATTTCGGAGACATCCTACTGCTACACAAGTGCCTCTATAACGGCATACTCATACGTGATAGCCCTCATTCTGAATGATTTTTCACTAATTTATTATTATTATTATTTTATGGCGAGGTTGGTAAATGACTCTACCCCACCTGATGTTAAGTGATAAAGTCCGAAGCGAAAATAGCCGGTACAGCAGTTATAAACTGCTACATCAACCATCCTCACCTTGCCGGCCTGCTAAAATGCTTCGCCACGCCTCTCTTAAAGGACCCCAGATTATAGGAAGAAGGGAACACGTGCGCGGGTAAAGAATTCCACCTACGAATAGTACGACAAAGAAATGAGTCACCAAATTTCTTTGTTCGTGTAGGAATAGTGGCCACAGTAAGTCGGTGGCAACGTAGGCCAGTGCGCGTGGTCCTCTGAAGAAAAGGTGATAGAGGGACAAGAGAGAATAACTCTTCAGAACACTCGCCGTGGTATAGTCGATAGAATGCGCTTAATGATGCCAAATCGTGGCGTAATTGAAGAGTTAATTTCGCTCCCATCGTGGCAGGTCAGCAGCAGTCGTTCGTGATGGTGACGTCACGGCACGTCACCGCCATGAAGGCGTTACTCTGCGCCGCGCAACGAGACGGCGACACTATACAGCAAGCGTGGTTACCCGTACTCACGACATTGCAACACTTGGTAAACTGAAATGAACTTAACTTGTAACGTACCTCAGGGATCGTCCCATGGTTTCGTCTATCATAGGTTCCATTTCGCACATTTTATCATATAACATCATCGATATTCATCTGGCATCAACATAAATTTTATACTGTATTCCTGGAAACACATAATTTCAAAAATAACACACACTATTCATCATTTTGTAAATACGTGTTATAATTCCATCTGTACTGAAAATCACTATTCCAGAGTGCTGGACACTTACCGGCATTTCTCTTTATTCTGTTATTTATTTGTTTTCATTAATTTTGCTCCGATTTTATCTATTTTTAGTTTGTTTATTTTATTGACATTTATGACAACTTAATGTTTTTTATCCGTTGTCATGGCTACCCATGACACGGATACTCTCTTCAACTACGTCTATGACTATTCCACCTCCACAGACCACCTACTTTGATTCTTTTTAGTACGATTCGAACCGTGTCTAAATTTAAATGGTTCCGGACCTATTAAAGGCCAAGCCTCCCTGATCTTTCATTCATTTCTACGGCAAAAGTTGCCAACTCAACTTTTGATAGCTCGCTACCGAGCTCTAAATTAATAAAAGGCCTTGTCCAGGGCCGACTGCCCCGGGACTCAAGAAAGACCTCAAAGCTTTACAGCACCTATTGGCTGTCTAAACAACTTCTTAACTCTACTACTCTTCTCGTCATCTTCACCATACTCGTAACCTCATCGGTGGGACTGCCGCCTGGACTCCAGCTTCCTCGGCCAGCCTCCAACTGCTTCAGCCCGTCTTCTACCGACTCCTGCCGTTCCACCAACTCCTGCCACCGGCCGATATTCGCCGGCCAACCTGCCAGCAGCGTCCGCCAGCCACCACCAGGGCAGGCCAAGACCTGAGACGCCTGAACAGGAGCGCTTCTGCCTCCTAGGAGTGCCGCCCGTCTGCCAGCAGCACGTCCTCCAGACCCTCAATTCTCAACGAAGAAGATCGCCGACGACCCACGCCCACTTCACCACTTCCACTTCACACCTCACACTTCACACACATACCATACCCCTATTTTTTTATAATCTGTAAATACTACTTTATTCTTGTAAATATATATAGTTTATAACCTCTTCCTGTTTTCTTTATTTTTTTGTTTCTATTTATTTTGTCGCTGCCCGACAAACTCACTTGACACCTAACAATATAGATTCTCTTACTAGGAAATAGGATCCTAGGATTAGTTTTAGATATAATTTCATACAAACAAACAAATTAGTCACCGAATTACAGATCATTACATTTAGAGCGTATCAATATCGAATTCGAATAGTTTGCGAGTGCGAAATGTCATTGTCAAGTTTTGTGTGGAAACTTGAACAGCAGCGCCATAACGGACGTAACAAGAACATAAAATCAGTACACATTTGACAGTGTCATTTCGCATTCGCAAACTATTCGAATTCGATATTGGTTCGTGTTACGGGTACAGTACCCCTAGCACGAACTAATACCGAATTCGAATAGTTTGCGAGTCGAAAATCTTATTGTCAAATTTTGTATGGAAACTTGAACAGCAGTGCCGTTACAAAGGGCGTAAAAGGAACTAAAAATCAGTACACATTTGACAATGACATTTCGGACTCGCAAACTATTCGAATTCGATGTTCATTTCTGTTAAGGGCACAGATCTCTCTTAAAAACGATGGTCTGCTTGGACAATACATGACGAACATGTATTAAATAATAAATTCATACAAAGACAATAAAACTTTAAAAATCGAACAATGAAATAACCGAACGCTCAATAAAAGTCTTTCGAAGGTAGCTCGACAAATTAAATAAAAGTTTGATTCTGACGACGTAGCCTGTAAAGGCTACGAAACGTCAATAAATAAATAAAGTTTCGTGCATTAACCCGTAAAAACTAGTTTTATTTAATGAGTGATGTGCGTGAAAACCTAAGAAACAAACATGTAGGCATATTGGTCACCTCCCTTTTTATATTAAAAATGTATGTATAACATTATCTGATTGCCTTGTCTTGTCTAGGTGTGGATCTTGGGCTTGAAGCCTTCAACCGGTGGCAGCATGAAGGCGAGTCGTTCTAGCGCCGATGCAAATGCCGTGATGAGCACTTCCGCTGTCATGGCCGACTTGCCCGGTAAACATCAATTCACCTATTAAAACGTATATTTATTTATTATACAGTTAAATACGTTGGTGATACTTAAACAAGTAAGGTTGCATGTTTAAGCTAGTATCTGGTTTAAATGATCTTTTAAAGCAAACATATTAATGATTACTATTTGTGTTTTGATTCCATAATTCCTTGACCGTCGCAAATTAAAAATCATCACCTTACCTATCTATTACAGTTTTAATTCTAGTTTAAATATACTAACATAAGAAATTTATCACACTCCTTCCTCATTGCTATTTTTATTTTAGTGTAATTGTCATAATATTTTGCCCAAACCAGGAGTGAAGTGGACGAACTCGAAATCTTATTTTCATTAGATTTAAAGTGCTGTTTCGCTTGTATAGTAAAACTTTAGATACATTACTGACAATCGTTCACAGGTCAGCAAATTCCTGTGGCCGAGTCTCTCGGAGTCATGAGCGGTATAACAAATATAAATAAACAAATGGGCGAATTTATAGCTTTGCGTGCATTTGGAATAAAGTGTGCTTGTATATCGATATATGTGTGAACCATCAATTCATTGCAACTTGTGTTCAATCGATGAATTATTTTTGAACTATATGTTACTTCGGGTTTTTATTCATGTTGGAATTGTTATAATGCATTGTCGCTTATTTCTGTCGAACGTTATTACTATATACGTGATTTCAAGCTAGTTGGAAGTTAGTTTAATGTATTATGATGTTTTGCAAGGTACAGCATTTAATTAAACTGTTAATACGTTCCGCGTCGTATAATAGCTAATTTTAAATTAACACAGAACTCTCATTGATTACGGGATGTGTAATATGAATTAAGTCTTTAAAATGATTTTGTGTATTACTTTCAAGTCTATAATTGCTTGGGATCGTTTTAAAAACTTTTAAGAAACTCAGAAGACACCTCTGTTTTTTACCCTAAAGAAGCGCTATATTACTAGGGCCTTAGCTTAATATTTTTTCCACGCAATGTGCATCGGGAATGGAGCTTGCTGACCTTATAGCTATATCAATCTCAAATAGTGCTTGTGCTTGTTATAATAATTTTGATTAGCAACATAAATATTGGTGTCGTTTCTAACCTGATTCTCCAAACTTAAACTAAATTCAACATCAGTCTCTCCTTTTCATTCAGTATAGAGAATGACAAGGATACGCTTTTGTCAAATTTAGGTTTTGGTTTAGAGAATCATGCTACAATCGACACATTTGTGTAGGTATAATTCGTTTCGGAAAAAGATATTTTGTTTATCCCATTGTATGTTTTTTCTTTTTTCGTTGAAATAAGCTGCGTGATAAGTAATTACGGGAATACCTTTCCTCAGTATTATTATTGGCTGGAATTGGAATATATATGTTTTTTTTGTATTAAAAATAATGGATACAGCCCCATTTTTGTTCGTCTTGCTGCAACTCTACGTGTATTTATTTTCTTTGTGATGTCTTGTTTATTTATAAATTTCTAAATATTGTTGCGTAATCTTTGTTTTCTGCTCTATTATGTACGTCATAAAGTTGCAAATATTCTCAATACTTAACTAAAATTTTCAATTGATAGTAACATTTACACATTTTGGAATAACCAATAATTTATGACTTTATTTTACTTAAACAAGGATTTAAAACGCATTTTAAACCCACTTGCAGCTAATTTGCTAAATCTTTATTCAACTAAAACTAGATCTATCCTATAGAATAATGTCAAAGCGTCAATGTAAATTTTACATTGTTGTATGGGATAAATCGTGCATTAGTTAAATTGAGAATTAGCAAAATCACTGCAAGTGGATCTTAATGTGGGATTTGCGTGAAAATTTACGAGACAAATATATATATACATAAATGTAAATACACCAAAATTTTATATCCTTTCATTTAGCCACCTAACAACACAGTGTCTGACAATTGTTTTAATGTTAAATTCCTTTGACGCTATTATCTCCCGTAGCTCTCTCGGCGATGTTGTCCCGAGTGTTCGAATCTTCCAAGAACCTGGATGACGTGGCGCTGCATCACCTCATCGATGCGCTCTGCAAACTTTCCAACGAGGCTATGGAACTTGCCTACTCTAACAGGGTAATTAAAATTATTCCCAAATATAGGATGAAGGTAGCTACACACATAAGCGGACCGCTATAGTCGGTTAGGCAGTATTTGTTGACCCAAAGTAATGCACTTGTTGTACCGAAAAATAGGCTACTTGATAGTATGAAAAATAAAGTACTAATTGTTGGCATATGTATTTAATATGAATATTAGCAGTGATTTTACTATTTAGAGAGGACAAATATAATTAATAACTTTTCAAAAAAATCTTTACATTAAAATGATTTTCTTGTTCTATTGTCACGTGACCGAAAGTGCATGGGATTGGCGAAGACTAAAGTGACGTCACACGCTAGTAAACTTTCGGTCAAAGTGACATTACATTGTATCTTTTGACGTTTAAATGACAGTCGTGTGACGTCACATACTAGTGAGACGCCGTAGTGTTCAGAGAAACGTTTTCACGGCAACTTAAAAACGGATTTTTCTGCTTAAGTTTTTTTTTACTGAAATACACAACAGAATGATGAAGATCCACTTTTTATGGACTCCTTAATCATTAGTAAATAACGCGACATCGTTTTCTAAAACTTGTCAAATTTCCTATTATCTACATATATTCGATTTTACCGCCTGGCTGTGCCGATTAATGCCGGTCCACTTATGTGTATAGCTACCCTGAGATTTCAAATTTCATCATAGTATTAACCAAAAGACGGTTGGAGTATTTAAACTATTTTAAATAGGCATATATTTAAATTATCTAGTGAGCCTTTGTCGGTTTGTATCTACACAAAGGACGACACATGTTTTCCTAGAACTATTTTACTCACCAGGAAACAGTCTCTAGATTAGCAGATAATATCTGATTTTCAAGTTTCGTGTTTTTGCAAAGGTTCTAGAGATCATGGTAACGTTTCTCAATTTTGCTCACAATCGTAAAAATAGCGTGTTGAATTGATTTCTAAGCTTAGATCAAAACAAAAAGGGAAGATACGACACTCGCGGCTCAAAAGTGATCCGCTTAAATTGTGGTGCACGATCATAATTCGGTGTAGTCGCAATTGGACATTCAAACACGCTGCATATACACTCAATATAACAATATTGCGTATATTCTGTGTTGTACAGATAAAACAATAAATTCGATGCTTTTATAAATAACACCAATAGTTCAAAATCAAATAACAAATGCCTTGGAAACTCTTCTCATTCGTAAAACTATAAAATTATTTTTTTCTCAAAAAACACGGTTTGTCGTGAATGTTATTTACCTAAACGCCATTTTGTTATCAAGAAAAGGACAACAATACAGCTCAGCCGTTCGCACTCTGAAGCTGATTCGCTGTTTTCTTGCTCTGCGTTGAAGCGTACAGTTCTTTTTTCGCTCGCTCGATTGAATGTTATTTACAGACATGTGCGTGTGTGAGAGTTGCTTATGTAGTTGAGTCGGTATAGTATAGTCATATATTATTTGATGCTAGTATGAGCGTACCATATCTTTCCTTTTTGTTTTAAACTAAGTTTTTCAGTGTTTTCTATTATACTTAGGCGACTATCGTATGAGCTCCGACTCGATAATGAAAGTAAAACTTTACCCTACAATAATATACCGTGCAAGCGATTCTCGCCTTAGAGTGGTAAATCGTCTTAGAGATTGTATTTTTAATTGTCTCCCAGGAACCCTCCCTGTTTGCGGTGGCGAAGTTACTAGAAACAGGTTTGGCAAATATGCACAGGATTGAAGTCATGTGGAGACCTATAACCAATCATCTGTTAGAAGTAAGTCTTTGTTATGTACGCTTTTTTAGTAATTCGTGCATTTTAGTAATATAAGTTATTTACGGGATTGTTACCATGTATTTTGTTTTTAGCGAGTTTCCGATATTTCGGCGCTGCCTGTTGCAAGCGCCATGATCACAGAGTAACAGCTTGCCGCTTGCAATAGTTCCGAAATATCAGAAACTCGCTAAAAACAAGGTACATGGTAACAATCCCGTAAATAACTTATATTACTATAATGTTAGTGACCATGAAAGTTAAAAACAATATAATTCATGCATTTTGTTTTCATCTTCTCTGTACCTGTACTGCGAGTTAATTCACTTGAATATAGTTATGGTAATGATTTCAGGTTTGCCAACACCCCCATATAAGGATGCGGGAATGGGGCGTTGAAGCAATCACTTATCTGGTGCAGGCAGCTTTCCAATACCATCATAACAATCCGCATTTAGTTACAGAGGTTTGTATAAATCACAATTAAAAGAAAGGAATTTGTTAATAATCAATATAATAAAATAAGTCCAACAAAAACAGTCAATTGTATTGATGAACTGTGACGACCTCCGAGAGGTTTGTACGCCGGGTTTCAAGGTGTCGCCTACTCGAGGTCCCGGGCTTGAATCCCGGTGGGTGGCAGATGTTTGTGTGATGAATACGAGCATTTGTACTCCAATCCTGGATGTTTGATATGAATTTCTGTTAAATATACTTATATATGGACAGTATATGTTTTGTATCCGTTACCCTAGAATGCTATAACACAAGCCCCACAGTGCTTACTTTGGGGCTAGGCTAATTGGTGTGAGTGTTGGAAATATTTATTTATTTATTATTATTTAACTTCCATCAAAATTAATAAAGGAATGTGCAGAGGAACTTACTTTTTCATTCACTTGTCTAATAAACCAATCGTTTGAAGAAGGCACATTTCCGTCTACTCTGAATAAAACAATAGTGAAACCTCATCATCAGCCTATTAATGTCCCCCACTGCTGGGGCACAGGCCTTCCATATGGATGGAATATGGAGATTGGGCCATGACCAACCACGCGGGCCCAGTGCGGATTGGTGGGTGCTAACGACTTCAGATGCAGCCGGGACCAACGGCTTAACGTGCCTTCCGAAGCACGGAGGGGCTCGAGCTAGAAGATTTTTGGTCACCCTCTAATGACCGACCACTGCGAAAGTTACTCAACTTCAACGATCGCAGCCGAACGCTCTAACCACCTGCGCTATTGAGCTCCTCGCTAAGGATCAGCCAGTTGCCCAGTCTAAATTACTATTGTTGGAAGGCCAAAGGTGAAGATCTTCCTCCGAGCTGGATGATGGAACTTGGGGGGCCGTGGCCCGATTGATGTTGGTCGGGCATCGTATATATGAAGTGTTAGCATCCGAATTTCACTTGCGCGATGTAGGCTTCCATACGTATTGATCGCAGCGTCGGTAGCGCCATCTCTCGAGGAGTCGAGTGACTATTTCCTCCATGTAAATTATATGTGGGGCATGTAGATATCGCCGCCACACTATAAAAACAATATGTCTGTCCAGGCACGTCAACGTCTCTTATTAGAGCCTTTATCGGAGCTATGCGCTGTCAGACACGGCGACGTGCGGGCGCGGCAGTTAGAATGTGCGGCCAGATTACTGCACTCGCTGGGCGATCAGCTGGGAGCCGCGTGGCCTCTCATGATGGAGATTATTTCCGCTATTTCTACGCACCATAGGTGAGATGTTAGTTAATCTAAAGAAAATTTTACTAGAAAAAAATCCACGCGGACCAGGCAGCAGACGGGACACCAACCCGCACCCTTCGCTATCCGGGCGAATGCACTGACCATTATGCTACCGCGGCCCTGACGGCCGTTAGTTAATGTTCATAATCACAGAACAAAGAAAGAGGTGAGAAGGGTGATTATCGAGCGTTTGAACGGGAACCGATGTCGCCGGCTTGCCTCCACTACACTTTTACTTAATAGCCAATCAAACGACGCGACATCAAATGATCGAACCAATTAGCGCTCACACCCGAGATCAACGACGTAATCTGAAAGTTTTGGTAAAGTTATGAGCATTTGCTCAAACATATCTGTGGTGCGCCTGCCCCCACCCACAAGTCCCTTATAACCTCTTTCTGTGATCTGTGGTATGGGTAATGGCATCTGCATTAAGGAATTTGGCTTCGTTATTTAGACCCCTAAGTCCCATCCATAAAGTAGGTCACTCTAATTTCGTGATATTTTCACCCCTTCCTTATCCGTGACACAGTTGATCATATTTATGAGTACCTCCCTAGTGTGCCATCACATATTTTGCATTTAGAAATAATATAATTAAAACAGCAGTTCAAGCATTTTTGCAGACCTGCAAGGTGAGGATGATTGGTGTGTTAATCAGAAATCAATATATCTTTATTCAAATTGGATGTATAGTACAACTCTTTTGAATCGTCCAAAAATTTTTTTTCCCTACCACTCGTTATGGACATATTTTTTAGCTGCGGAGAAAAACGAGCGAAAAAAACTCCACAACATTAAAAGTCTAATGTAACAACATTTACAAATCATTATGTTGTTACAACGTCAATACAATTATGATTTATTTAATATAGAAAACCTGTTGGAATGATTGGAACAGTTCAAACCCAAGCATTTTTGTCTGTAATATAATCAGACACTTTGTAATAAGCTTTTTTAATGAGTGTTTTTTTTATAATATCTTTAAATTTATTTATGGCTAATTCTTGTATATTGCTTGGGAGTTTATTGTATAAGCGAACACAAAGACCTTTAAATGAATTATTAATTTTGTGAAGCCTAGTAGCAGGTAAAGTTAGTTTATTTTTGTTTCTTGTATTAATTGTGTGAACATCACTGTTTTTAAGAAACAAATTAATATTTTTTCTTACAAGTAATAAATTTTCGTATATGTATTGTGATGCGACCGTCATTATTCCAAATTCTTTAAACTTATCTCTTAATGATTCTTTAACTTTAAGATTATAAATTGATCGAATAGCTCTCTTCTGCAGCACAAAAATAGTTTGAATGTCGGCGGCATTTCCCCACAATAAAATTCCGTACGACATTACACTATGGAAATAACTAAAGTACACTAATCTGGCCATATCTACATCCGTTAACTGGCGTATCTTCATTACGGCATATGCTGCAGAGCTAAGTCTATTTGACAATTTATCAATATGTGGGCCCCATTGAAGCTTAGAATCTAAAGTTATCCCTAAGAATACTGTAGTGTCTACAAGGCCCACATTCCTATCCTTTACATTCACACTGGTTTTTACCTGTTTTACATTAGGTAATACAAATTTCATACATTTCGTTTTTCCTTCATTAATAATAAATTGTTAACATTGAACCAGTGGACTACCTTAGAGATACAATTGTTCACGTCGTCAATAACTTTTTCCTTGCGTTTTAGTTTAAATAAAAGCAAACAATCATCCGCAAACAATACTATCTCATGGTTATCTCTTACATAGTAAGGTAAGTCATTAATATAAATTAAAAATAAGAAAGGACCTAGGATTGAGCCCTGCGGAACACCCATCTTAAGCGGCGAACCCGGAGACTTATTACCATTAATGTCAACCCTCTGAATTCTATCCCTCAGGTATGATGCAATAAGATCCAGATCGGTATCTCTAAATCCATAGTGGTGGAGTTTCCTGAGTAATGTTTCATGAAATACGCAATCAAAAGCCTTGGACAAGTCGCAAAACACACCTAGAGCGTCCTGCGAGTTCTCCCAGGCGTCAAAAATTTATTGTATAAGTTCAACACCGGCATCGGTTGTTGAACGACCCCGTGTAAAACCAAATTGTTTACAGTGAAGTATATTATATTTATTAAAATGTGATTGCATTTGATCTAACATGATTTTTTCAAAAATTTTGCTAAAGGTGGGTAGTAAAGAAATTGGTCTAAAGTTTGTGGGGTCTGATGTACTTCCCGTTTTATGCAAAGGAGTATTTTACTGTATTTCATGAGGTCAGGAAAAACACCACAGTCAACACAATCATTAAATATGCAAGCTAGAATAGGAGCTATTGTCTCAATTACCGATTTAGAAACATCAACGGAATTGCCCCACAGATCCGCGGTTTTCTCGGTTCGGTTAGTTTATAACTGCTGTACCAACTATCTTTGCATTTGGACTTTATCACCACTTAACATCAGGTGGAGTAGGGTCACTTGCCTACCTGGCTATATAAAAAAAAACAGAACAAATTAAAACTTAGGACTCCTCCCACCCCATATCACACAATGTCACACTTCTTCCACCCCCTCCCTACTTCTTAACATGTGACGTATTTAATGCATGACCCTTTACCAACCGTTCTTCCTAGAGTTTGATTATTGAAACTGGCTGTTAGTGATTTATAAGATAATCGTCCAGTCGCTGGGAGATCAACTATAAGCTGCGTAACGTCTCAAGATGAAGATTAGGTAAGAAGGTAATATGATGACATCTGTATCAGTGTTTTTTTTCTATATTAAGATCCGAGATTGCTATGGCTATCGCTTACGTTTTAATTTTTCGGTATTTTGAACTAGTGATCTCATTAAGCTGAACTAAACTAAATCATGTATTTGGTTTTTTGCAATAAAAAATATTTAATTTGCATCTGATGTTCTTGATTGACTTTTTACTTTAATTCCTATGTTTTGTTAACCAGGTACTCTAAAATGTTATTAATATATGAGGAGCTGGCGAACAAAACGGTATAATTACGCATCTGGTCAAACGACATTTATTTTTTGCACCAGAGGTTTCGGGTCCGTTAAATTTGAATCTCAAATAATTTTCAAACAAAACCGCCCCAAACTGTGTTAAAATTACCAAATTTATAAATTAAAAACCATGCCAAATGCTCACTGTAGGTATGTCATTTAATTTTATACAGCTCCTTTAAAATTTAATTTTATGTAATTATACCGTTTTGTTCGCCAGCTCCTAATATAAAAGTTTTAAAATGTCTGTAAGGTGCTCAAGTTACCGACGGCGTCAATTACTTATGTACTTGCGTATTTGATCCCTAGACACTAATGCTGTAGTTATGTGTAAAGAAATCGCTGGGTGTTTGTTTGTGCAGCGAGCAGCTCATAAGGTCGGCGTTCCAATGCGCACAAGTAGTAGCCGGAGATTTGTTGGGATGCGCTGGACCCCGATGTTTAAGAAGAGTCCTTTCTGCCGCCGCCGCCTTCGCCTCGCAAACTAAGGAGTTGAATATAAGCCTAACCGCCGTTGGACTTATGGTGAGAACAGATTTTTGTCTTCTAAATTCGTACGAATTAGAAATAATGTGCAATACGAACTGCGGCAAAAATGCGGTTCCACGCAAACTGTGATCGAGTGGGCGGGACGACAAAACTGCGATCTGCTTGACGGTCATTGGATTGGTTGGGATTTTCGTTTAACAGTATCTTGCCTAATGAATAAATTGCCGAATTCATTTGTAGATATTTGATTCGTCAAATTATTGGGTTTTGTCTGTGTTCGTGTCGCCTTAGTATTTGAGTTGAGTTTGGAACCAATTTTTAGTGGCCTCTGTTTGTGAGTAATTCTTCCATACCATTTTCTAATTCGTTGGGTTATAAGTAAAATATGGACCACATTGTTGGTGTGCTTTCTGCAACCGCCGCTTTCGCCTCGCAAACTAAGTAGTTAAAAGAAGGCTTATGGTGAGTAAGTTTGTTATATTCTTACAAGGAAAATTTGGAATAAGGTACAATGATCCGCTTTCTTTGCGACGTGTACTGGCGGCTTTGCATCACAAGTGTCCATATATACTGGTATATTAACTTTTATCCTATTTGTTTATGTTAAAGAAATGCACTCAACGAACCTGGTCCTTCGAGCTGGATCAAATCCATCAGTATTAAGTAATTCATTGTTTTCGTTGTTAATAATTGTAAGAAAATCCTGCTAATATGTTACTTACTCAATCACGCAAAAACTGCTGAATAGATTGGGGATGAAATTTCGTACGCATATAGTTTAAGACTTGGATTGAGACATACGATACTTGTTATCCCAGAAAAATGTTAGGTTCCTGTGGGATTCTCAAACAAATTGGTGGTCTATAAAGTCCGTTTAAGGACGATAGTTTTACGTGATAACGTCATGCGAGAAGAGAGATAAATGTGTACAAGCCGACGCTTGGGCCGATCGTGCCTCTCTATCGCTTTTTTTATAGATAGGTCCGACAAATGACTCCGCCCCACCTGATGTTAAGTGACGGTGAAGTCCAGACGTGAAGATAGCTAGTACAACAGTTCTTCCTGCCACACCAGCTATCCTCACCCTGCCGGCCTGCATGTTGCTTCTTCACGCCTCTTTTAAAGGATCCCTGATTATAAGAAGGAGGGAACACGTGAGCGGGCAGTGCATTCCACTTACAGATAGTGCGACAAAGAAATGCGTCACCAAATTTCTTTTGTACGAGTTGAAATAGTGGCCACAGTTAGACGGTGACAACGTAGGCTAGCGCGCGTGGTGCTCTAAAAGAAAGGGGAAGGTGGAATAAGATAGAATAACTTCTCAGAACACTCGCCGTGGTACAGACGATAGAACGCGCTTAGTAACGCCATGTCACGGCGTAATTAAATAAATAAATATTACCAACACTCACACCAATTAGCCTAGCCCGAAAGTAAGCACTGTAAGGCTTGTGTTATGGGACACTAGGGTAACGGATAGAATACATATACTGTACATATCTCTTATCTATTAGACAAGTCCGTCTGTCTGTGGTGCTGTTTCAGCGGCCAAACCGTAAGAGATAGATAAAGAGAATATTTAAGTTATAAGTTAAGAATAGTCTGATAAGACTACAAACCGGATTTGAGTAACGTAGCACTTCCGGTTTTCGAGAAATCAGGTTTTGGTGAACATTAGGTTCACTGGTTTGCTAGTATAAGTATATTTATAAATAAATACATATTAAACATTCATGACTGGAGTACAAATGCTCGTATTCATCAAACTGCCCCCACCGGGATTCGAACCCGGGACCTCTCGAGTTGGCGACACCATGAAACCCGGCAAACTACTCGGCCACGGAGGTCGTCAAATTGTTCCGCGCTCTCACTTGCACGCTCAGGCTCAGGCGAAACGTGATACTTTTTCGTGCGTACAGCCGGTATTCATCGATTTATAAGAAACTATCACGTCAAAAACCAAAGTCAACGCGGACAAAGTCGCTTACGCCCGCTAGTATACTAATAAAAATTACGTTATTTAACAGTGGAACATATCAGACTACCTCTACCACAACCGGGATAAGCTGGTGGTGGCGTTGGCCAAAGACGCGGCCGTCTGTCCAGAGGTGCCGAACCACGCTGAACTGCCTCCCCTTGACAAACTATGGATGTGCCTTTACATACGACTTAGTAAGTGGCAAAGATATTTTTATAAAGTTTTGAAATACTCTTGTTCCCTTATTTCTATACCCAGAAAAAGCATGGATGAGTTACTCATGTTTTTTATTATTGAATGACATGATATTTGAGTAGTATGAACAAAACACGGCGTAACTAGTCTTAAGTTTATTCCTCGTTTGTTAATGAGAGGTTAAAGGGCGTAGGTCGTCAATCAACTTCTAAGTTTAATTAAAGTTCTTGCTGCTATTTTCTTTGCGATAAGACAACACGTGACCTAAAAGAAATGACATTACATTTATTTGACGTCCGAGTAACCGGAAACGTCATTCGAATGTTGGAGTAAATTATGAATGAAGTTATCACATCATCATTTATTTATATATATTGTAACAATACTGTATCACAAATATAGAAGAAAATCGAAGAAATTGAGTAGACAATAGCAACGATATACAGGCAGTCCCCGACTTACGTCGTTTTGATTTACGTCGTTTCAAGTTACGTCAAACAATGTATTGACACTATTCCTCAAGCATACGTCAATTGTTTCGATTTCCGGCATAGAAGAATTCACTTGTCGCGAGGTCAATGTCCGTGGGGCCGGCGTCCGTGGGGATGTCTCGACTTACGTCGTTTCGATTAACTTCGCGTATTTCGAGAACATGCCGTAACTACGAGGACCACCTGTATTTTTAACTTCTTACAATAACGAAACAAATATGTCAAAGTCTTAATTTCATTATTAAAATTGGAAGCATAATAATGGCGAAAGATTATTGTTTTTGGTGAGATACCTGAATGATTTTATATATACTATATGTTTACTAACTATTTTGTTTTAAATGGAACATTGTTTAACGTCGTCATTCAGGTGAGTTATGTACGGAACCCCGCGCGCCAGTCCGTCGCGCCGCCAGTCAGACGCTGTTCAGTTGTATCGGCGCCCACGGAACCCTACTTAGCAAGCCCGCGTGGAGGGCACTCTTAGGGGTGCTATTCCCAATGTTGGGAGAGGTGAGTTAAAGATTTCTAGTAGAAAGGAATGTTGACTTAATGTTTTCGACAGAATCAAAATATTAAAAATTTAAATTCTCAATTACAATAATTCCTTTGAGACGGTTTTTTTATGTTTTAGAGAGATCGTATTTTCTTACTTCTTACTTTCTCGCCTAAAATAATTTAAAGTGTATTTTGTAAACGAATGTACTACAATAGCGATAAAACATTGTACTTTATAAATGTGTCTTGGCGATGAAATTTTTCAGGAAACCTATGCAAGCAATTTTCTGAAACGTCTTTGAAAATGACAAGGATGGCATTCTAGCTTGATCCTCTTACGCATTTAACTTTGTTTGACTTGTGCAGCAAAACAGCTAGTTGCAAACAAACACAAGTTTGCGTGTACTAATGATACATAACCATTTATTGAGGCATTTTCACGGGACTTACTCGTTTATGAAGTACATATATAGCTATTTATGTTCTAAAGACAGAACCAAGAAATAACTCGAAATACACCATAAAGGAGATTGCTCAGCTTCCATACATGTTTGGCCTAAAGACCAATAATCATGAAAAATTGTTTCCTAGATTCGGAATTATATATAAATTACTGTAGAAACAAATATTATTGACGGACACCCCTGAGAACTTTTATAAACCATATACACTGAACAATTTTGAGGTTATGTTTGTAAATAGGTACATATAAGTTATATAGTAAACTAGGGAAATCAAGCCAAGTACCGAAATTATGGATTAGATTCAGGTATATAAAGCATGTAGTTTAACAGATAATTGCCTGTTTGTAAAGTTAATGCATAAGAGTAATTTTTAAAATCAGGTGTCATCTATGCATTTCCGGTTATAATAAGGTACTCTGTGACAGAAACTGTGAGGATTGTGAATGAGCCACAGATTAGAGAGAATTTTTAAACTCTCGCTAACCAAAGAAAGCTAAGAGATTTAGGTTATATAGCCATATATTCAGTAGCTTCATTATTTTTGTTGTGTTTTTAATATAACCATATTTTAGATTTTTAGTGTATCACACCTTATAATTTTATTTATTTATTAATTTATAGTCAGGCAACGTAGGCCCATAGATAGATACCTTAAAGTCTAAACAGATTATAATGTGTTTATGGAGGTGTTTGGCGAAAAATGTATGGCAATAGACTTTATGATGTCGCCTACTATATAAAATAATTGTCTGAGCACATTTGCATGTAGTGAAAATGATAATATAGTTGTGGATTTTAATACAACAGTGTAATAAAAAAGTTATTAATTTTATCGATCTTTACAAAATAGATTTGTTTTTATGTTATATAAACAACTTCAATCAGTCTTTGGCTGAATGTTACTACACCCATAGCCATTAAAAATGATTCGTATGTTTTCCAAACCGGTAAAATTAAAAATCCTTTTTAAAGTAAATATATTAAACAAAGGTGTCCGTTGAAATCTAATGACTGTAAATTAAATTATAAATTACGCCAAGAATTACCGTTAATGTCAATATTTTTTGTGCATTTGGGCCAATTTGAGCAATCTCCTTTAGAGTAACCTGTGAAACTTTATCAGCTAATTCTGACATTATTTTTTTCGTAAATTGTTTCCACGTTAACTCACTATTTCTGCAATTATGCAACCTTAACAATATAAATTGTTATAAATTGATTCAAAAACATTTCCGATCTGCGTACTTTAAACAGATAATAACTCCATAATAGATAGGTATGTCGTTTTACGATATTTAGTAAACGATGTAAATAAATATTGTTGTATGGAGGTGTAGTACGTTTACTTTTAATAACTGTACCCCTAGCACGAACCATTATCGAATTCGAATAATTTGCGAGTGCGAAATGTCATTGTTTAATTTTGAATGAAAACTTGAACAGCAGCGGCACAAAGTACGTAACGAGAACTAAAAATCAGTACACAATGACATTTCGGACTCGCAAACGATACGAATTCGATATTGGTTCGTGATAGGGTTACTGTACGTACTTTCTTTATTTACACGATTTTTAAGTTTCGCGGGTAACTGCAAATTCACGGTGTATACAGGGGAATTAACTTTACTATCAACTTATTCAGTTCTTCAAATGATGTGCATGAGTTGCTTAACTAAAATAGAACCATATTTGTCACAGGTTCAAAAGCAATCGAACATAGCGAGTTCGGAAAAAGTGGATACAGGCGAGCACATACTAATTCATCACACCAGAAACACTGCCCAAAAACAGTGGGCAGAAACTCAGGTGAGCGATAACTAAAAATCGGTGTAATTTTTCACTGTTGCTAGATTTCTTTAAGAATTGCAGAATCGTGTATCAGGAGTTTTTGGGTAGCTTTATTCGGAAATAAGTATACAATACGATTTATACAATAATATTGATCTTTCTACATCGAAGCTCATTAGCGCATTTCGCTGCGATCGTTGAAGTAAAGCAACTTTTGCAGTTAAATTACTAACTCCAGTTCCTCCGTGCTTCGGAAGGCACGTTATGCCGTTTGTCCCGGCTGGACCTATTGACAGCAAATTTTGCATAACTATTATTTAGTAGATGTACACTAAGCTTGAATTAATATAAGAACTAATTTATTATTAGAATTTGTAAATATAAAATGTGCATTTTGGAAATGGACATCAAATAATATTTTATTTTAGATTCACTATTTTAGCGATAATGGCTTGTACATTAAAAATAGATAATATGGTGTCGCGGACTTTTTTGTAGAAATACTTAAGAGATACATTTTCACTCTACATTATATTCATGTAACTTTTATTGTTTTTGCAGTGCAGGCCAAAATGGCTCGCAAATTTTTTTTTTTTTTTTTTCTTTATCCACAATCAGTTAGGTACTATAAGTGAATGCGTTGTCAGTCCAATAATTGCGATGAGTGTACCCTCCATTGAGAGTACTACTCCATGTGCTACATCCAGGTGCTACATTCGCTCCGATAGTGACGAGATATTATGCCTTTTAAGCCGGTTACAGTAGGATTGTCTTGTAAGTGCGACTGCCAGCTCGTTGGGATGCTGAGCAAGTCGTTTTTGGTATCTTGTAGATGTAGCCCGGATTTCTTCCTTTACTGTGCTTATTTGTAGGTTCTCGTGGATCTCGTTGTTTGTTACAAACCAGGGCACATTGGATATGGTGCGCAAGATAACGTTCTGTAGTCTTTGTATTACGCTTATGTTGGAGTTACTCGCGCTACCCCACAGCTGTATGCCATACATCCATACCGGCTTAAGGAGGGCTTTGTAAATTAGCAGTTTGTTGTCCACAGAGAGTTTGCTGTTGCGTCCAAGTAACCAGAGCATATTTCTGTATTTCAGGTTAAGTTCCTGTCGCTTTGCTTTAATGTGATTTTTCCATGTCAGCCTGCGGTCGAGATGTAAGCCAAGATATTTCACATTATCTTTGTTGGGTAGTATGTTGTCTTCTAGAGATACAGGTGGACAATCTCCTTTTTTGAGGGCAAAAGTTATGTGTACCGACTTAGTCACACTTACTCTAATCCTCCATTTCTTTAGCCAGATACTTATTTCGTCTAGCCCTTTTTGGAGAATATTAGATGCTACAATCGAAAATTTATTGCTGGCTAATATGGCAGTGTCATCGGCAAAGGTTGCTGTAGTAACGCCTGTTATTGTTGGCAAGTCTGCAGTATATATTGTGTATAACACTGGTCCCAGTACAGACCCCTGAGGTACACCTCCTTTAATTTCAAAGAATTCTGATGTTTCACTCGTTTCTTTCACCTGAGATATTCTGTCTTCTATGTAAGATTGTAATAAAGGGTGATAACTGTGAGGGAGACAGTTTTTTAATTTGCATAGGAGGCCCTCGTGCCATACTTTATCAAATGCCTGTTGAATGTCCAAGAAAGCTGCTGAACAAAATTCTTTATTTTCCAGCGCCTTTCTGATTTCCTCTGTTACTCGATGCACCTGTTCTACAGTAGAATGGTTTTGTCTAAAACCAAATTGATGATCTGGTATTGTTTTATTTGCCTTAAGAATGGGAAGTATTCTTTTAAGTATGATTCTTTCGCATACCTTCGACAGTATTGGTAAGAGGCTGATGGGTCTGTAGGATGACACTTCGTTTGGTGGCTTGCCGACCTTAGGAATCATAACAATTTGGGATACCTTCCACATAGTGGGAAAATGTTGTGTTCTGAATATGCCGTTATATAGCGTGGTGAGGAATACTACAGCTCTTTTGGGCAAATTTGTTAATATTTCCTTTGTAATAAGATCGAAACCAGGAGCCTTCCGATCATTTAAAGCTTTAATTGTCAACCACACCTCTTTAACGGTAACTGGTTCCGGTGGTAACGACATCTGGTACGGTTGATCAAGAACATTATCCACATATGTATTCGATTCTTGATTGTTTGTAGCGTTTGGTGAGAAAACATTAGCCAGATGATTGGCAAACAAACTTGCTTTTTCTGTTGCACTTTTAGCCCAACTATTGTCACTTTTTCTGAAGGGAGGTTTACATTCTTGAGGTCCGTTTAGTGTCTTGGTAAACTTCCATAGTAAGTGGCCAGTGGATCCATTAGGAGCAAGTGATTCCAACTTTGCTTCAAGTGTAGTGTCGTGCCAATCTTTAAGTAGTGTTCTCAGTTCATTTACCTCTTTATTCAGTTTACGCCTATCGTCACTGTGCCTGCTCTGTTGCCATATGCGCCGAGTTCTTCTCTTTTCTAGTACTTTTTGTTTTATTTCTAGTGGTATGTTAGCGCAATGGGGTTTTTGTACTACAGTAGGAGTAGTTTTCCAACAAGCTTCCTGAATCAATGTTGTAATGTGTTTTGTTGCTTCCTCTATTTCTTCTGGAGATTTCAGGGACATTTTCATGTTTAACTTATCATTGACATATTCACGAAATGAGTACCAGTCAGTCTTGGTATTAGAGAGTTGTGGCGGTCTTTCGATTTCAATAACCATGGTGCTAGCTGTTAGCAATACAGGAGTGTGATCCGATGAGGTGTCTAGACAAGATTCCGGTTTGAAATAGTGGTGAGACAATCCCTTAATGATAAAAAAATCCAGGAGGTCTGGAATCTTTTTTAAGTCTGTGGGCCAGTAGGTTGGTTCGAACGTAGATATGGTACGTAGGTTGTTTGCCGTAACGCTGGATAGTAGTTGTCTACCTCTTGTTGTAATAAGTCTGGAACCCCAGGAAGTATGTTTCGAGTTCCAGTCTCCACCAGCCACAAAGCGACCACCAAGGGAACTGAAGAATTCGGAAAACATATCTTCTGTTATTTTATGTTTTGGCGGACAGTAGACGGCAACGACGTTGAAGTATCCACAATGGTCTTCAATCGCGACTGTGGTAGCCTGTATATGGTTCTTCTTAAATTCTGGTAGTGGGTGATGTTTAATGGTTTCCCGTATTATGACTGCTGTGCCTGCGTGCCCTGTTCCATCCGGGTGATTGGTCGTGTACGTACGGTATCCATGGAAATTAACTTTAGATGCATTAGTACAATGAGATTCCGAGATGAGGATGATATCAAGGTTTTGCTGTCTTATTAGTAAGTCGACTTCGTTTTTGTTCGGTGATAAGCCATTTACGTTCCATGTTGCTATACGCAAGGATGCCATTAAGACAGTTTGGTTATCAGTGTGGTTATGAGCTGCATGAGTGTGCCCATTTGTTGTAGGATTATTTCGAACTTTTCGGATTGTTTTATGAGTATTTTTTCTATTGTGGTCATCTGAGCCTCTGAGCTTTGAGATTTATTGTTGTGATCTTTCTTTGTCTCCCACTTTGTTTGATTTTTCGTTTCTGCGGCAGATTTCACTTTCTCATTGTGGGTATGTAAAACCTTAGCGTATGTTGTAGGTCGGGATTCTGAATCTCCATTATATTCAGGGATAGGGTTCAGTGCAATTTTCGGCTTTCGTAGAGGTGGTGCCACTTTTCTTGAGAGGATTTCACGGTATACCTCACAGCCTTTATAATTAGCTGGATGGGCGCCGAAACACAATGCGCATTTAGCCGGAGTGTTTCTGTCTTTCTTGGTGCAGTCTGACGTTTTATGTTGTTGAGCGCATTTAACACAGCGGTGTGGCCTCATGCAATTGTTTTTCGAATGACCATACTGCTGACATCTTTGGCATTGGACAATCGTTTTTTTCTTTTTCGGATCTTCTATGACAACTGCCTGGTGGTAAACATATTTTAATTCTTTGACGGCCTTGTTATTAGGTCCTGGTAAGAGATTAACAAAGAATGTTGACGTGGGTTTTTTTTCCGGGCCATATCGAGCATTAATGATCTCTCCCGCTACCGAGTTCCCTGTACTTTCAATTGCTTCTACTATTGCATTTGTGGGAGTTGAATGGTGGAGATTTCGAATCACTATTCTGTAGTTCCTCTGATCTTTTCTGGTAAAGGTATGTCCTATAAGCCCCTTTTCACGGATTAGTGAAATAAGATTTTTATATACTTCCACCTGAGTGCAGCTAACTCTCATTTCGTTTCGGTTTACTATTTTGTAGGTGAATTGATCCCTTTCAGCAACACTTTCTAGTAATTCTGTGAGTTTGCCAACATCTTCTACACCATACAGGATAATTGGAGGAGGCTTGCTTGGTTTTCTTTCTTTGATTTGTTCTTCCTTGTCTTTGATGTCTATGGGTAAGACACCAAATCTATTTGAAATCCTTACTTCTTCGGGAGATGGAGTTTGGGTTATCTTTTTTCTTTTAGGGTTTCTAACTACTGGTATTCTTTGCCATTCCGGAGGTTTATGGGTTGTGAGCGGATGCTCGTCAATTTCAAGATCCGAGTCTATATTCAAGGTTGTAGGTGGTGAGGTCGGTGGTAGATCACCTCTTGGCAGGTTTCCTGTAGAGTTGCTTCTAGACCTGCTAATAAACAGGCCAGGATGGAAGGCCTGTTGAATCATTCTTCTATTTCCAGTAACATTTACCGACACAGAAGCCTGGTCACCTACTTCTGTGCAGTCTTCGGTAGCAAATTTCACACTCTCTGGCCCGGGTACCAGAGAGCGCCGGGGGTTAGCCGGGTCGCATGACAAAACGCATTCCTTATTCAACTTATTCATTACGAGAAAGGGGGGGGGTTGGGAAAATACTAACTGTGCTTTCCCAAGGCACTGTCGCCACGATGTTCAGAGGGGATTTAGTTCCTCTTGGCTTGTGGTAGCCATAAACAGGATATTTGACCGCCGCCTGTGACTCGGCGTTGTTGCCCGTTTAGCACCACCCGGGGGACACGTGTAGGGTGGGCCTAGGAAAAGGTGGTAAGTCCTACGGACGCGAGCAACTCATCCCCCAATCGCTCGCAAATGGGAGATTTTTTTGCGTCTTACGTGACACTTATTGTTATATTTTGGCCAATTCACTCATAGACTACATAAACTATTACCTATATGTTATTATCATGTATGGGCTATATTATTGTAAAGTTTCATTTTAATCCATTCAGTATTTTTTAACTGAAAGAGTAACAAAGATCCATATAAACGTAAGATTGAAATCAAAAGCGCAAGTGGTTAATATACAACTTAATATCATTGTAGATCCTAAACAGTCATATCAAATGAAAAATGGTGTAGAGAGCCTAAACATGATTTTCCATTATCTAGACAATGATATATATATATACCCCACTCGACATATTTCGACAACTTATATTTTTTACTTCGTCACAATATGGCGCCTTATTGTCCCCATATTGAATTTTAATTACTATCATACCTTTAGTATGAACCATGAAAATCGGTCCATGCATTTGGTCTCTAGTGTGCCACAAAGGAACATACATACATATATAGACTGATAAACCCTGTCTGCGCGTCGCGCTTCGCGCCCTTGCATTGCGCAGTCGGGTAAAAAAACTGTATCAAATCCTTTGCCTTTCCCATTAGTATGAACATCGAAATGTGATATATTTCACCTTATTATCTGGTCTACTGTCATACTCCAGGAAAAAATATGATTGAGCGTGATAAAACATCAGGTTTATTATATCGTGGTGCTCATGCTAGAAATGCTAGTTTTTTAGGTATTAGCGAATAGGTATACAGTATCTTTTTAGGGTTCCCAAAGGGTAAAAACGGGACCTAAGACTTAGGAACACTCTGCTGTCCGTCTGTCTGCCACCAGTCTGTGTGTCTGTATCTCATAAACTTGATAGCCAGACAGTTGAAATTTCACAGATAATGTATTTCTGATGTCGCTATAACGACAAATATTAAAAATATAATAAAATGAATATTTAAGTCGGTCTCCCATACAACAAACGTGTTTTTTATTGCTCTATATTAATAACGAAAATAGTCTACCACTTGAAATATTCAAAGAATATTCAGTTGTATATTCATTTTAAAAATAAATAATGAAATGAAATTAAAATAACTATTGAAGGGGGGGGCTCCCATACAACAGACGTGTTGTTTACCGTTTTTGGTACATAACCCTTCGTGCGCGAGGCTGACTCGCACTTGGCCAGTTTATTTTATACTTAGTAAAGAAGATATTGTTGTTGGTTCTGGCATGATTCTCTAAACCTAAACTTAAATTTGACAACATTGCATCCTTGTCATTCTCTATACAGTGAAAAGGAGAGACTGATGTTAAATGTAGTTTTAAGTTAAGAGAATCATTCCAGAATGGACACCAATGTTATGAAGTATAATTTATTGAAATTTGATGACCTCCGTGGCCGAGTGGTATGTACGCCGGGTTTCATGGTATCACCGACTCAAGAGGTCCCGGGTTCGAATTCCGGTGGAGGCAGATGTTTGTGTGATGATACGAGCATTTATACTTCAGTCATAGATGTATAATATGTATTTTCTATATAAATATACTTACACAAGTACAGTATATGTATTCTATCCGTTAGCCTAGTATCCCATAACACAAGCCATACAGTGTTTACTTTGGGGCTTGGCTAATTGGTGTGAGTGTTGTTTATTTATTATTGAAATTGTTATGTATGTGCAGGTGTTAACGCTATCCGGCGTGTCCCGAGTATTCCACTCCCGCTTCCAGCTATTGACAACAGTGGGGGACTTCAATAGATCCTGGGCGGCTCTTCTGGACTACATTACCGACTTCGCGCTTAGAAGGAGTCATGAGGTCAATACCGATGTATCGAATGGCGTAATTACATTTGGTTGTTAGCCCGTATACGAGTGCACGAAAGACATTTCTCGAATTCGGGCACCCCGAAGCAATATTTACACTAGAAGACGGTGACGGGTAAAAAAAATAAAACTACCCGAATATGGGCGTACTCGACTCCGTTCATTTACAGTTACATGAAGTCGTTTATCTGAATTCTATTGGCAATCGTGTTCGAGCTAACAACCAAGTGTAATTAGGCCTTAAATCATTGATTAAAATAGTCTAACATTTGCGTACAATGGGGAAAAAAACGCAAAGCTCGTTACATATGGCGCTTTGGCCATTTGACCCATAGCAAAACAACCTGTCATTTCAAGACTGCGTTCTTAACCTACGCTCTAAGTGCAACTTTTACCACTGACGTTTAAATGTTGACATAAAATTTATGAAACTTATGTCCAGTTTGACATTTGTTGTACCTGGAGCGTAGGTTTGAAACACAGCACAGCCCAAGTCTATCGGAATCTGTCAGTTTTCCTCTTGACTTTGACAGCCTCGAATTGTTGTTATGGTCCATTCGACACCTGCTCCTCTGGCATTATAAATTGAAAGTTTTCTTCCCCATTTCCCCCCTTGAAATAGCAGACGTATTTATACAAAACTTGTTTGTTCTATTATGGCATACACGCCTGTTGTTTGTCATGTCATACAGTTAAAATAAATTAAATGGGGCCTAATGGTTTTGGAACTTTATTACAAATTTCATTACTATTACACCAATATTTTTACACTCACTTCGATACAATATGAATTTCAAAGTTGCAATTCATAAATCTAATTATTTTAAATAACGACTTGGTGCTTGATAATAATATTATATACATTTTATTTCAAACACAAAAATCCAACAATAATTTACCCTTAAATTTCTTACTTGCATCAACATTATATTATTACAATATTTACATTATTTTTCAATCTTTAGATTCATACTCACAAGCACTTTAAACATTCAGGTGTCTGTAGCCGCTTTGAAATCGTTCCAAGAGGTAGTAAGCGCGGCCGGCAGGGCTTCGGAGTCTGCTGAAGTAAACAGCGCCCTCTACAGGAGAGTGTGGGCCTCCGCGTGGACTGCTTGGGGAAATATAGCCTCTGCCACTGGGAACCAATCGCCTGGTAAGATAATGAGATGAAAAAGAATGAAAGAGCCACAATATATGTGAACAAGCCCTCTACAGGATAGTTTGGGCCTTCGCGTGGACTGCTTGAGGAAATATAGCCTCTGCCACCGGGAACCAATCGCCTGGTAAGATAATGAGATATAAATAATTTTAGAGACACATTATAGGTGAACACAACCCTCTACAGGCCAGATTGCTTCATCTTCTAGATTTTCTCTTTCCAAGACCAACATTTGCTATCAGATTAGTTCCGAATGGACTACAGAGGTCCAATCACGTATTTTGACAGTTCCGTAATCGTATCGAATCTTCAAAGTTTGTATGAATACTATGCAGCGAAATTGGACGATGACAATATGATTACGGAGCTGTCAAAATTCGTGGTAAAAGGCCTCTGATAGTCTATTCGGAATTTTTGTTTAGAGTAAATTTGGTTTAATAGCAAGTTGAAAATGTTAAATTTTTTCCCCGTAATGGCCCTAATTTTTTCAAAAGGCCCTAAAGGATTCCTCAATCATGAAGAAAGAGGTTAAGTAACATTTTTGTCAACAGTGACAGAGGATGGCAAGCCGGTAGAGGCGTACGCACCTTCGTTGAACTTCTTAACGACGTTGGTGCAGATCTTCCCACTAATCTTCCAGCATATCAGACCCACGTGAGTTGTAGTAATGTTTATGTCACGGACAGATTGTAGGTGTTGCCATATTCCTTATTTTACTGTGTCTATTCAAACGTTTTACCATTAAAAACGTATTGAAGCTAGAACATGGGTAGTTAGAGGTTGTAAATAAAATACATGGGACTTTTTAAAAGAGAGCGAGTACCCTATGTATTTGAAAAATATTTGATTACCAAAATCAATTTTCAATTTATTATTATATATTTGTGTGATTTATACGAGCATTTGTACTCCAGTCATGGATGTTTAAAATGTATTTCTATATAAATATTATATATGTACTGTATATGTATTCTATCCGTTACCCTAGTATCCCATAACACAAGCCTTACAGTGCTTACTTTGGGGCTAGGCTAATTGGTGTAAGTGTTGGAAATATTTATTAATGGTCTGCGTGCTACTATGAACGAAATAGTGCTTGAGCGATGTTTCAGAACTTGTTCTTTATATTGTGAGCTCTCGTAGTGCATGAAGCGTTTTTAATGTCATTCCTCGACTAACCATTTCTTACCTCAACGCTTAGTTTTAATATTAGATTTAGATCGCGTAATCCCACCCATAGGGTATTTGCTTTACAAGTTTATAAAAACAACACGACCTTTTATAATCCAATCACAAATATGTGTCGTTAATACAATAATCTGCATAGGGATCATTCTTCCTTGGATTTTTTTTGTAGTCGGCTTCTGGAATTTCGTAAAGAAATCCAAAGATTGTTACTTGATTAACAAAAAAGGAAATCAGTTAATTTTTACTGTTATTGAAGTGTTTTTTTTCTGTTGTTTAATTGTTAAAATTCGATTTTAAATATTTTTCTTTTCTGTAAACTTCAGCCCATAATATTTTATCATGTTATGCCCACATATTTAGAGTAACAGTTTGATTCTATATTATAGTAATTGCTTTGTTTTTTAATATTAATTGTAACTTGTTTTGTGAGCTAATAAATAAAAAAATGCTTTGTGTTGGTTGACAGTTTCACAGCAGCCGACGTACAGAAGCTGGGCGAGTGCCTCTCTAACGTTTGTCGGATAGAACCGACCTCGTCGGCTTTAGACGGCATCGGCACCGCCGCGCCGGTCAGCTTGCACGCGTTACACTGTCTCGATACAGTTCACAAGGTAAAACACACTTCTATTCCTTTTTATACAGATTGGTCCAACAAATGATAATAAAAAATCAAAATAATAAATCCAGTTTAGGCTGTTACAAGGACTCATGAATGTCTAGAAACCACGCCATCCTTGTATTGAGAAGAACCGACAAGAATCTCAAATGATTTTGTAGAAGAGTTATTCATCATTTGTTATTCCAGAATAGTAAAAGCGCTGCTAATATTCTTAAGCCGCGTATCCACTAGAGGCAGCCTCGCGTCGAGCGGCCTCGACTTGGAGCAAATAGCCTCAGTTTGAGGCTGCTCGCTTTGAGGCAACGGCTGCGGATCAGCTCGAGGCGTATCGCCTCAGCTTGATCCGCTGGCGGCGCACTGCGCAGCTAAAAGCCAAAACGCGATGGCACAAGACGCGCGTCAAGTAGCTGCTGCTTTAATAGCAATAGCCATTATTAAGAAAAAGAGGAGGCAACAAAAAGCTATACAAAAGAGGAAGCATCGCTGGTGGATAAAAGAATTATACCGCAATAGAACTATACATGGATGTGAACACTTGCTATTGGACATGACGTTGGAAGGTGGCGATAGCTTTCGAAATTTTAGCGACCGTCTCCATTAAACACACGGCTCGGACTGAGGCGCCTTTGAGCACGGCACAGAAACCGACAAAATATGGCTCGGCTCGCGGCGACGAATTTGCCTCGCGTCGCGGCGTGCCTCAGGTTGAGGCAGCGTCTCCACTTGCGCAGCCTCGGAGTGAGGCAGCCGCTCGACCCGAGGCTGTATGTATTTATAAAGCCGCGTATCCACTAGAGTCTAGTGGATACGCGGCTTTATAAATACAAATACCAACAATTGGTACATTATTTTTCATAGTGTCAAATGAGGAGCTGGCGAACAAAACGGTATAATTACGCATATAGTTTTGACCTTCGAATACTTTATTTTTATAGCCCGAAGGTTTTCGGCCAGCTGATTTTGAATTTCAACTCATCTCTATCAAAACCGCCTAAAATAATGTTAAAATTACTTAATTAAAAATCACGCCAAACGCTCACTGTAGGTATGTCATTCAGTTTTTTACAGCTTCTGTAAAATTTAATTCGGATGTTATTATACCGTTTTGCTCGCCAGCTGTTCAAATAGTGTTTTGTTGTTTTTGCCACCAGGAAGCCCTAGTCCGTCACGAGCTGCTAGCGGGAATGTTTTCCGCCCTCTCCCAGCTGGGCACCGCCTGCAGCCGCGCGCCGCCCGCCCCCGCGCGCTGCCTGGCCGCCGCCGCCGCCCTGTATCGAGCCGTGCCCGTCCCGGCCAGTCCGCATGTACCTGCATTATTACAGGTACATCCTACTTATAATAGGGGTGATGACGGGGTACAGTAAACGAAATTCTATTTAGTCCGTCAGTTAGATGATCAAAAATAATGGACACGTATTTTTTCTTTGGGCAATCAACCAAAAAATGACAAAGTTATAGCGCGTCAAAGTTTGGGAGTAGGGGCTCGTGACGTCACTTTTAAGTGAAAATTGTACCAAAACGTGACGTAATGCATCTTTTCAAATCAATATATCTCTGCAATGTTTATATTATGTGGAAAAGGAAAAATTACGTGTCCAATACTTTTTGATAATCTACCTGATAAACGAAGAAAAAAAATTAGTCATCATCCCTTATTATTAGAGAGAAAATCTATCTCTCATTAATAAAGAGAACTCGATGGCGCAGGTGGTTAGCGCATTCGGCTGCGATCGTTGAAGTTAATCAACTTTTGCAGTGGTCGGTCATCGGAAAGGTAACCAAAAATCTTCTATCTCGAGTTCCTTCGTGCTTCAGAAGGGACGTTAAGCCGTTGGTCCCAGCTGCATCTGCAGTTGTTAACACCCGTCAATGAGCACTAGGCCCGCGTGGTGGGTCATGGTCCAATCTCCCTATTCCATCTATAGGGAAGGCCTGTGCCCCAGCAATGGGGACATTAATAGGCTGATGACGACTATAGGTGCTGTATCTATACATAATAGTAAGAAGAATAGTGGAATTATAAACTTAGAAGAACTATAAAGATCTAAGTTCGGCCAATAGAGGATATATTTAAATGATCTTCAAAAATATGTGCCTAAGATAATTAGAAAATATTTCTGTTGTTCTATGCACAGTCGTTACATGCCGCGGTGCAGAATTGCAACACAGACAAACGTCGACGGGCCAGCGAGGCTGCCGACGAGGGAATGCAAATAGCTTCCTTATTATTACAGGTATTTTAAACCTTATTACAATAGCAATAACTTTTAGAATTATAATTTTAGAATTTATTCATTTTCAATAGAATAGGGTACACTGGAGATCTTACAAATACAAAGAATATAACATTAGGTATATATTTTATTTCTTAAGCATTTGCAGCCGAAGACTAGTGAAAATTCGAAACGGCCGATCGGGGCCGCGGTAGCATAATGGTTAGTGCATTCGGCTGGATGGCGATTGGTGCGGGTTCGAGTCCCGTCTGCAGCCAGGACCTCGCAGATTTTTTTTCTAGTAAAATTTTCTTTAGTTGTATATAGCATTAGTTATAAGCTTATTCTAATTTAATTCCTAAACAACAGCTATTATTAATATAAATAAAATAGAATGAGGAAGAAAGAAGAAGAAATCAGAGGAGCTCGACGGCGCAAGTTGTGCGCAAGACTGCGATCGTTGAACTTAAGCAACTTTCGCAGTGGTCGGTCATTGGATGGGTGACCAAAAATTACTATCTCGAGCTCCTCCGTGTTCGGAAGGCACGTTAAGCCGTTGGTCCCGGCTGCATCTGCAGTCGTTAGCACCCACCAATCCGCACTGGGCCAGCGTGGTGGGTCATGGCCCAATCTCCCTATTCCATCCATAGGGATGGCCTGTGCCCCAGCAGTGGGGACAATAATAGGCTGATGATGATGAGAATGAGGAATCCCTGGGGTAGTTTTGGACCATTCGAGGGTGTACTTTTTAATAAAACAAAAAACCATTCAGTACACAATAGGTATATTGGATCATTGATTTAACAACAGATTTTCAGGCATTTACGAACTTAGAGTTATTGATTTAACACGGTGATCTATAAGACACAGAGCCCCCTTCCAGTGTGATCAATGGGAACTAAACTATTACTACATACAAGAATATCTAGACAACTGTACCAATAGCACGAAATGTCACTGTCAAATTTTGTATGGAAACTTGAATAGTAGCGCCACAAAGGACGTAAGGAGAACTAAAAATTAGTACACATTTGACAATGACATTTTCGGACTCGCAAACCATTCGAATACGATATTAATTAGTGCTAAGGGTACTGATGTCTAAAAGGCTTTCTAGATTTGGATTATTTTAACTGACCGTTAATCGATACAGTCTGATTTCGACATCAAAATTTTAAATTGTGGTATTAATCTGTTTAAAAGAGGGGTTTAAAACTTTTGTATCTATCTATCAATATTCCGTTATATATTTTTTTTCAATAATGATTATCTTCTTTTCGAATTGACCGCTAGAACCACAATAACTGTCAAAATGCAAAGCTTTTAAAAAATTAACGTTTTTTAACACGTAATTTAATTGTATTTTTTAGGTATTAGCAACAAGTCTCCCCCTAGCAAGGGAAGAGCCAGAGGGCTATAAAGAGTTCTGGGAAACGTTGCCGACAGTTCTAGAAACATTCATGTTTGAACCACCGTAAGTATAGATATATTTTATCTGTTTATATGTTATTAATTATATTTGTTTGTTTAAAATTGCAAAAAATTTGAAAATCTATCGTATCATGTCAATATTTGATAAAACGACAAAATATGTCATATTTAGATTCTGCTTCTATTGCATTAACCTATTTTTTTATAATATTTGTTATTTCTAGTTACGGTTACGAAGATCCATAACATTCCTTTCATATAATAATATGTTTGTTGATGCTTGTATTTGTTTTTACGTATGCGATTTATAGATTTTTTACATTATTCTTGACGTTTCAGAACTTTTTATCAGTTCCGTGGTCGCTAGACTGAGATGATGCTCATAATTCCACCATTTTTTGACTTATTACGAATAATTTGTAATATGGACATGCCCAATAAATAATTTTGATAACGAAGCTAGTTAAAAATTCATAAAATGATTGTTCACGTCTCAACCTCGCAATAATGGTGCTCAAAAAATATTTAGAACTTCGACTAGAGTCTGTGCGGAAAGAGAATGGGCGTGGCGAAAAACGGAACTAACATAAAAGTTTTCGTTTGGCAATCAAACCCAGCAATCTGTAAAACGTCAAAGTTTTGTGTTGATTCGGATTTGTTTGTTGTTGTGATTTCTTGCGGTTTTTTGTATTTAATCATGTTTAAAAGGTGTAAAACCTTACAAATACGGTAGAAAAGCACTACAGCGCCCTCCAATCTAAATCCCATTCTCTTTCCTGACCGACTCTATAATATTATTGATTCAACAAATCATCCCCTACATCCCTCTATTACAATTTTAGGGTAGGGGGAAGCCGCCACGCCCGCGAATTAGTATCGTTAGTACGCGATGAAGTATTACGCGCGTCGCCGCGAGTTCCCGCCGCGCACGTGAGAAGTGTACTGGCGTTACTGCGGCGAGGCGGTGCTCACGCGCAGCCCGCACTACCCACGCGTGCGTATACATATAATTATATACTGCTAAAAAAACGAGTGTGCTTATGATCGCATGATTGAAGAGAAACTTCTTTAGCTCCATCTTTATGTATATATATTTATATATATATATATATATATATATATGCGTGTGTGTGTGCAATATATACATGTATGTACATATACATATTTCATTTACTAGCTATAAGAGAAGAGAAAAGAAGAAAGAAAATGTGCGCGCGCACTGTTTTCTCTTGATTATATCCCCCACTCAACTCCCGTTCGCCTCGCCCGAACACACTTTTCATAACGCGTAATTCGCCAGCTCACCCCCCAAGTCAAGCGTGCGTAATGAAGTTACACTTCGATAATGGCACAAGTATATAAATATAGAGAATGCGGAATGGCGTTGTTCCCTGACCAACTGTAAAGTTAAATCAGTTCAGTGTAACAGAAACTGAAAAACTGCTTGATATCCTCAAGAAGCCGTCTTAAGGAGAATTATTGGGCAGCCGGTTAAACTGACTACTCTGTGACGGGAACGACTATATGAAAATTAGTTACAAAACAAAATATTAACAAAAATACATAAACTATTGTAACATGGTTTCACAAACGTCACTTAAATGTCGCTGGTTGCGGCTCGAAGGACCAAAGATTTGGTAACTATTCTTACACTCGAATGCTTGCTAAGAACAAGACTACTCCAAGCTGTGTTAAAATCAAACCGAATCGTTTGTCTATTTTATACTTTTTTTTTAACACACCAATTAGCCTAGCCCCAATGTAAGCACTGCAAGGCTTGTGTTATGGGATACTAGAGTAACGGATAGAATACATATACTGTACATATATAAGTATATTTATATAGAAACACATATTAAATATCCATGACTGGAGTACAAATGCTCGTATTCATCACAGAAACATCTGCCCCCACCGAGTTTCGAACCTCGAGTCGACGACACCATGAAACCCGGCGTACAAACCACTCGGCCTCGGAGGTCGTCTTCTTTAAATTATGATGTGTCTATGATTAGCTGACTCAATGAGCAATTAAAATAATATTTACTAAATTGGTATGTTCATAAGCTCCTAGATTTTTTCTGTGTTGCTTTGCGTAGGAAATTGTTTTAATACTGATTTCACTTATCCGTTTATAGAAAACGAACAAGAACTACGCGAGAGAGAAGAATTTGCTCGGACGTGCTTCGAGACTCTTCTACAGTTCTCTATGTTAGAGGACATCGACTCGCTCACCGAATTAGAAAGTAAGTTTCTTTAGCATAAGAATATAATAATATCTGGTTCATGATTTGGAAGAGCGGGTCAAGATTGAAAGACGTATTATTACCGATCAGAAACGAAAATATATTAAATGTTTCAATCTTGACCCCGCCCGACTTCCAAATCATGAACGAGATCTTATTTTTTACTTTTTAGTTTCATTTTTGATTTTGAAGTCGGTTTTATTTTTTGTTTACAAAAATTTTATTTCATCCATTTTAGTGAAAATGATTTCATCCAAGTAAACAATAACACAATTGATGGAGAAATCGGTGAACATGCATAAAAATAAATCGTGCGTTTGAAATTTGAAAGTTTCCCTCGATTTCTCTGGATTCCTCGGAAATGCACTCTTTCGAATTAAAAAAGAATTTTGGAAATCGGTCCACAATAGGGTATTTTCCAAATTATTGAAAACTGCTTATATCTAAATATTGGGACAAACGATTTAACGGAAAAAAAATAATTAATGTCTTTTTTTCTCAATTAGACCAAGTGGTACCTCAAGAGTTAAAGTAAATTTATTTTTAATAGTTTGAATTTACCGCCAAAACGCTCGGTTCGATGACGTCTACTGTGTGACGTCAGCAGTTACATGCTTTAAAAATACAAATTATAACTACCTGATAGGTGATTACATGTTGAAATTTCAATTAAGGTTTTTATAGTCCAGGACAACGTCTGTCGGGTTCACTAGTATTAAATAAAATATGCTATATATATGCAATCTATCTCGTGCTCTAACTTCCTGTCATTTGACATTATAGTTTATTTTTTCTCTGCCTGTGTAATATCATGATACTTCATGTGTTTCAGGTGACACAGACCCCCTAGCGATAGTGGCGTTGCTGGATAGGTTCCAAGAGGTAATATCGAGGTATACCACGGACGAGGATAATCCAGAACCACTGCCAAGGTAAGGCTTTGACGCAGCAAAAATATCTCGCCTTGCTGACTCGATCTCCTCAATTATTGAACAAGCTTGTCAATCTTGTTATACTTCAGCACTTTTTGTTTCAATATTTAATTTTGATGGATTGAAATGGTTTTGCTTTTTAGTTACAATGGTCAATTTTAATTAATTTATGGATACAGTATTTTCATCATTGATTTAATGAATTCGAATAGGTTTGTGCTTTTAAGCTAAATTTACTACATTTTTTTCTTCAAATTTATAAATCTAGCAGTTAAATGGTTAAAATAAGAATATACTTAACTTTCGTCTCTCGTTTTATTTTATGTACCTTTTTATTTATAATTATGTTACTTACTAGGCACCAGTTATCAGAAATATCGTTCGTGTTGAAAGCGATAGCGACGCTAACGGAATCAATGAAGAAAGCACCGCCTGGCAAAGTAGACGCGCTGGCGTGGCAAAAACTCATAGGTGAGTCATAATTGGCTATTTGAAAATGTCTATACATATAATAAAATGGTAGGAAAGTCAAAACTGTACATTGAATGTTTTTTTAAAAGAATACTTAGGATGTGATCTATAATCGATACCGAAGCCAAATATATAGTTTTTAGAATTTTTGTCTGTTTGTCTGTATGTATGTCCGGGATAAACTCAAAAAATACTGCATAGACTTTACTTTAAATTTGGCATAAATATTATTAAGAAGTCGGGTCAACATATAGGCTTCATATTATCACGCTATCACCTACGGGGAACAGTGAACCATTATTTCCAACTAACTCCACGCGTATGAAATCGAGAGCAGCCGCTAGTGAAAAATAAAGTTCCAATTGTTGGCATTTATCTTTAAATAAATATTAGCAGTGATTTTACAATTTTAAGAAAACAAATGATTAATAATTTTCTAAAAAATCATTGAATGGAAGTGGACGTAATAACGTCTTATAGATCGTTGAACACCGGCTGCACGCACAAAAAAGTGTCACGTTCCGCCTAAGCCTGAGCGTGAAAGCTAGGCCGCGGAACAAGCGGTAGAGAGGCACGATCGACCCAAGCCGAGGCTTGTACACATTTATCTCTCTTCTCGCGTGACGTCAGAGCTAGCAATTATGCAATTTTTCATCAATGTTTCTTTATGACGTTATCGCGTAAAACGATCGTTCGTAAACCCAATTTTTTTCTGTTTTATGGTCACGTGACCGGATACACTTGGGATTGGCGAGGACTAAAATGACGTTACGTGACGTAACATTGTACACGACGTCACATGACATTTTCACGGCAATGTCAAAATTGAATTTTTCATCATCATCATACAGTACATACTACAGTATGATGAATATTCATCTTTTTATGGACTCCATAAACATTAGAAAATAACGTGAGATCGCTTTTGAAAACATGTCAAATACCCTATTGTACCTTTTATTTCCTACATGTTCATACCCGGAATTGGTCCAACTAGCACCATCTCCCCGCCCTCAAAAACTATAGAATTTAGATTCCTACAGATTTTTGAAGTTATACTTCTTTAGGCGCGTTATGAAAAAATGATGAGAGTGAAATTTTAAGATGCGCGCGCATCACTGTAACACAAAATTTTAACAGCATGAAGTTGGTCGCTTTAGCGACTCTTGACCATTGGTGTAGTAGAACCAAAAACCACATCTTTATTTTTTGTAATAAAGTAACAGTTATAGGTATTCATATTTATAATATTTATCCACATGTTTCTAGTTTGTATATTCGGAATACGTGTTTGAGTTTCATACAAGTGCAAATCACATATGTTCTAATAAATTATATTCAGTAGCGATTTTAATTGAATATTTTGATTATTTATTTATTTTTTCAAATTAAAACTGAACTTTATTAACTGTGTCCTTTTCCAGACTTTTTATTAATTTATTGTAATTAATTATTTGCATGCAATTAAAAACTAATTTTAAACGATGCCAAAGCAGGATAACTTCTCACGCGCCTACATAAGTACACGCACCCATTTTTTTTCCTTAAATTGGTGCAATAAGCATGTTCTTATGTTCTTTCGTAGGAAAACCTGTAGGGGTTTATTCCCATAATTGGTCCAACTAGCTTTTTGTAACTCCGTATAGGTTTGTTTCCTTAATTTGTACAATTAGCTCTTATGTTTTTAATGTTCTTTCCTACAGGTTTATACCCAGAATTAGTCCAACTAGCAGCCTCTCCCCGGGCGATAGGCGCCGGGCCCGCGCTGCGGAGCGCCCTGCTGCAGTTCGGAGCCCTACTGGGGGCGCCGCTCTAGCGCCGTGTGCTCTACACCATACACATATAGAGCACGCGACTCTAGCCCCTACAGACAAGGTAATAAGGAGTAAAATTGCCTGCATTACATACAATTTCTATTTCGTTGCGATTCCAGCCCTTAAACTCGGATGGAAACACCGTCGATCACTTACATTAGATACTTATAAAACGCGCGATTCTTGCCCCTATGGAACGAGGTAATAATGAGCAAATTATCCAGTATTAAACACAGAGCTAATTCAAATTTGATAAATAAATATATACAACACTCACACCAATTAGCCTAGCCCCAAAATAAGCACTGTAAGTCTTGTGTTATGGGATACTAGAGTAACGGATAGAATACATAAACTGTATGTACATATATAAGTATATTTATATCTATAATATAAAATTGAACTTCTCAATAATTTTATATGCATATTCAGTAGGTCTGAGAATCGGGCAACATCTATTTTTCATCCCCCTATGTTCAGGGTGGTCCACCCTTAATTTTTTTTTGCTCAATTTTTTTATTTTTATTTCTTTATGATAAATCATAAAAAAAATGTAGTGAGTGTTGGAAATAATAATTATTCTAATAATTATTATTTTTCTTCGCAGCTCAGTGAAGGGCGTCAAGAAAATTATGGGGGCGCACGTGTTACGCGGATATCAAACAAGTAATGCAATTAGTTATCATATTCAATTTTAAATGATTAAATTTAGTTCAATTTGAGATAACATGGACTATTTCAAATAAAATAATAGCTTTTACAAGAGATGTCGCCTGTGTGCTGCTTCCGATTTAGGATGAAACGGATTTTGTAGCGTTCGTATTATGCGGGCACTTCGCTTGGTTATTCGTATTTGCTATTTGTAAACTTGACAACTGTATGTCTTTATCATGCTTTATGAGGAATGAAAAGGACAAACTGATATAACTTTACAAGTAGCAAACACGAATAGCCAAAAGTGCCAGCATTAGGGTCTTCATACTTTTAGTAATGAATATGGATAGTCATACATATATTGTATGCCTCATACATCACAAGTTTGTTACAATTCATTCCTATTATGTTGTAATTATTTATTTCTATTGTATTTATGTATAGTAAAGGAAATGTATAAGGAATGGGATATGTATTGTTTTGTATTTCATGGGAGAGTGTCGAAAAAATATGTCACACATATTTGTAAATATACCTAAAGTTTATTTTGGCGAATGGCAGTATTAGATTTCAAATTCAACTTTTAATTTTTATCTACTTTGGTTTTAAATTGTTAGAAATCACCACGAAATTTTAAGTTATTCTTTTCTTGAAAGGGCATGAAAGACATTTAATCTTGTATAAGTGGTGCATCTGGCTGTATGGTGATTTTACAAGATGTAGAAAAAACATTTTACTGTCTTCTCTTCTCTTCTTCTGCAACATACTGCTGAAAAAGTTATGTTTTCTTAGTTTGTCACTGCAAGAATTTCACTTGGTACAGGAGCTCTATTTTTGATGCGCTCGCCTGACATAGTATCGTCGAATGCTACTTAAGTCTCTTTCGATTTCCAAGTCGCATGATACTGATTTTCCGTATTTTTGAATCTTTCACCCCCAGTGATACCAGCTTAATTTTTTTTTAATTAATTTCACGGAAAAATATAAAGAGCAGTCATTACCGCTGTGAAAAATAAACGAGTAATTTTCAATAACTGGCTATTAAATCTTTTGCCTTTTATGTTAGAAAAGATCAAAACGTCGCAACAAATCGGCATCGTAGCTGTATTTTAAAAAGATTGAGATTTTTTTGGAAAATTACTCAAAATTAGTATAAATTGAGCGGTCGACGCAAGGCGATTGATTCAAAATAGAGCTCCAGGTTCCAAAACCTGTGTTATATGACTTAATGTAACTGTGTTGTTATCACAATGACACAAAAATTCAAGCATGACTTGAGTTCATCACAATCTTTTTGATATAGGCCAAAGCAACATTTTATTAAAAACATGGTGAGAGTAATAGGGATTTTTTTAAGCATTCAACTGCTCGGTGTTTAAATCTAAAGAAAAGTTTACTAGAAAAAATCCACGTGGAGCAGGCAGCAAACGGGATTCGAACCCGCACCCTTCGTTATCCGGGCGAATGTACTGACCATTATGCTACCGCGGCATTATGCTATCATTGTGTTTAGTGTTACCTACAATGCGAAAGCTAGGGAAAATTCGACAAGTCCGTCAGGGCCGCGATAGCATAATGGTAGTGAAGGGTGCGGGTTCGATTCCCGTCTGCTGCCTGGTCGGCGTGCAATTTTTTCTAGTAAACTTTTCTTTAGTAATAGGGATGTTGAGGGAGAATTAAGTTAATGAAATTCTTCTTAGTCCATTAGTTAAGTTCCAAAAATTATGGACACGCATTTTTTCTGTTGCGCATCTTGATGTGAACCAAAAGATGGCAAAGATTAAGCACATCCAAGTTTGCGAGTGGTGGCTCGTGCGTGACGTCACTTCTAAGTAAATATTGTATCAAGGCGTTACGCCATGCGACATTTCAAATGCTTGTGCGTGACGTCACTTCTAAGTAAATATTGTACCAACGCGTTACATCATGCGACATTTCAAATACTCGTGCGTGACGTCACTTCTAAGTTAATATTGTACCAAGGCGTTACGTCATGCGACATTTCAAATTAATATATCTCTGTAATGTTTTGATTTTGTCAAAAAATAAAAAAATACTTGTTGATCATAATCTGCCATTGCTATGGCTCTATTACACTTGGTCGTTAGCCCGAATACGATTGCTAATGGAATAGGGTATTTGCCAGTATTAAAAATAAACTGCCAATTGTAAGCATCTGTATTTAAAATTAATATTGACAGAAGTTTTTACTATTTTTACAGAAATAATATTCATAATTTTACTATAAACTCACGATAAAGATAATATTTTTCTTGTCTATTGTCACGTGACCCAAACTACAAAAAAGGATTGGTTGAGCCTAAAATGACGTCACACGCAAGTAAAGCTACGGCAGCTTTCAGCGGCCAAACCGTAAGAGATAGATGAAGAGCATATTTAAGTTATAAGTTAAGTATAGTCTGATAAGACTACAACGTAGCACTTCCGGTTTTCGAGAAATCAGGTTTTGGTGAACATTTGGTTCACTGGTTTGCTAGTTAGTAAATAACGTGAGATCGTTTTCTAAAACTTGTCAAATACCCTATTCGGGTAAACGAGTAAGTGTAAATGAACGAAGTCGAGTACGCCCGTATTCGGGTAGTGTTCCTTCTCACCGACACCGACTTCCAGTCCGTATTGCAGTGTAAATATTGCTTCAGGTGCCCGAATTCGAGTTATGTCTTTCGTGTACTCAAATACGAGCTAATGACCAAGTATAATTAAGCCATTAATTGTTTCTTTACTGTCGAATTTTGATGAAGTAACCACCCCAGTAATCAAAAAATTTTATCTACCTTAAAAGTTATATCTTTTTCTTTGTTATCATTACCTGAGTGACACTAATTAGAAAAGGTTCGACACCATTCCTTCCAATGAGGTGTAGTTATTTAGAAACGTGTCTTATGAACAGTTAAATAGGTTTTAATATCCGGTAGCTGCATTTTAATTATAAATTAACTAAATAAATAGAAATATGAATAGGTTCTACAGGTCATCTTCCCTTATAATCTAACGCGACCACATAACACTAGAGCAGGTGAAAGTGTAGTGGGGGTGAGCCGGCGACATCGGTTCCCGTACAAACGGTCTATGAGCACCCTTCTATCTTCTTTCTGTGTTCTGTGCATGCGACTAACTATTCCATTTATTATTGTAAGCAGAAAGTCCCTTTAAAATATGTAATTAAATCAAATATTTAGTATACAATATATAATAAATACAATAGTAGTATACAATGATGCTTTATGCGATGATAGAGAAGCTCGATGGCGCAGGTGGTTAGTGTGTTCGGCTGCGATCGTTGAAGTTAAGCAACTTTCGCAGTGGTCGGTCATTGGGTGGGTGACCAAAAATCTTCTATCTCGAGTTCCTCCGTGCTTCGGGAGGCACGTTAAGCCTTTGGTCCCGACTGCATCTGCTGTAATTAGCATCCGCCAATCCGCACTGGGCCCGCGTGGTAGGTCATGGCCAAATCTCCTTATTCCATCCATAGGGAAGGCCTGTGCCCCAGCAGTGGGGACATTAATGGCTGATGATTATAATGCGATTATGACGGTACACAGTGCATAACAAACTCAGTCTTCTTCAAACTTGTCTAACTAGACTGTTGCACTTGCCTTGTCACGCTCGCGTTGGGTCAAGCACGGCCAACATGTATTGGCTTTAGATATACACCAAAGCCAACATTGTATAATTAATAGACCCGCAAGTTATTAAAAAAGAAGAATATAATGTAACTAATTTCAAATGCAACATAGTGTGTCTGACAAATAAAAGTAGTTAGAATTATGAAATTTAGTGTACTGATTTAGAATAACTAGGCATTTTATAATACGAATAATATTGTCTACCTTTAATATATTATATTTCGTTACCGGTCTTAAATAATTATTTTATATCATAGTTAAAATAATGTAGCTACTTTTTGGTATATTTTTATGTTTGTTTATAATAAATCTTATTTGTTGATGTAATTGAATTTAATTAGTCGATTTCATGTCTTGTTTGTAATATCTATTTACATGTGCAATGTTTATTATAGCCATAACTGTAAGCTTTATTATAATCATTTCTGTATTCTTAACAAACTTGCTATTTATACTATGATAGAATATTAATAACGTTATTTTCACATTGTATTGAAAAATTAACAACTATAGTTTATGCTATAATGAAACGAAACATTTGTGCCATCGTTTTTGTATGAAATTCTCAGTAATTGTAAAGAATTGAATTTTTCTTAGACACCATATTTGGGTCCCGTATAGTAACTAATTATTACCCAGAAAGATTAACATGGTGTCGAATAATTAACTTGATAGTGATGTCGATTATGGCGTGATTCTCTAAACATAAAACTAAATTTAACATCAGTCTCTCCTTTTCATTCTGTATAGAGAATGACAAGGATGCGCTGTTGTCAAATTTAAGTTTAGCTTTAGAGAATCATGCCAGAATCGACATCAATATATATTTTCCTTAAATATCATAATATATAGGCGAAGGATACAAAGGGTGTACGTTTGTCAATGGAGTTATTACAATTATAAACAATATATGTCAAAACTACAATGTTTACCTCTCGTCCCCGTCCCCCCCCATTTTCCGGGTAATATTTCGTGATTAGCCTGAACCGCTCCCCCCCATTTCGAGCCTCACGTGATTAATGCATGCTCCCTTATAATTATGTTGTGTTATGTATGAATGGCAGTTGGTTGACATGATAACTTTCAATTTCAATCTAATCAAACATCTGTTTCATAATATAATTTCACGACGAATATCCTTTAAGTATAGTTATAATTATACTGTGTGAATTATAATTAAATATTGCTAAGCGCGATTTTGTAGGTTTGTTAACAATATAGTTGTTGGTTATTGATGATTTATGAAAAAATAAGACATTGAAGTATAATATGGGAACATTGATTTGTTGTGTAATATATTACAGTATTTGCGTTGTATCGTTAATGATTGTAATAAATGAATTTGTATCATTATTTTGTGTCTTCAATTCGATCTCTTCGGTCTGTTTCTCCTTCCATCTGCACCGTATAAACAGTAAAAGGTACCTGGTGAATAATTGAAAACAGAATATCAATTTCTATTATGTTTATGTCGCGGTACGAAACTCTAGCCTGACCGTTATTGCGCAGAAGTATTAATTAAGATGTGTTGGGGGGAAACGAGGTGCGCGGGTGGGCATGCGTTGCGCCGATTGTCTCTCCAGTCGTACCCATGCGCAGTTATCCCCCCCAGCGTTTTGTTCAGCGTGGCATTGTCCTAATACAACGCGATAACGCGAATGAGCGATGCGATCATCGTACGAGTCGACGATCAAACATATTGATCTAGAATAGGTGTCCTAATAGGCGACCGCGCGATGCATTCGCGCGACTAAAATGTTTAAAAATCTATTCGCGCGATCTTAGTTCGCGCGAACGCGCAATCAAACCTATTAATGATGAATAGGTGTCCTAACTGAAGTTCGCGCGATGATCGCGTCGCGTCGATAGGAAGCGGGGAGAGGGGCAGGGCTAACCCGTTTCGTATTCGCGTTCTATTAGGACACCCAGTTCACGATGACGCGATGGTCGCAACGTTTAAACGCGCGATGATCGCGTTATTGCGTTGTATTAGGACAATGCCTTAGAGTTACGTGCCGCGACCTATACCTCTATAATAAGAAAAATATATTTTTTAAAGTAAAACTTCTTTAGACACGCTTGACTCGGGGGCTAAACTGGCGAATGTGTTACGATTCCGCGTTAGATTAGTGTCATCGGTGACTCATCGGTAAACAATGAACAATACTCGTCACAAAATACATGAATCTAGTCTTTGGTGAGTGATAACGGACCCAGCGCGGATTGGAGGATGATAACTGACCCAGCGTGGTTTGGTGGGTGACAATGGATCCAGTGCGGATTGGTGGGTGATAACGGACCCAGCGCGGATTGGTGGGTGATAATAGGCCCAGTGCAGATTGGTTGGTGATAACGGACCCAGCGCAGATTGGTGGGTGCCAATAGGCTCAGTGCAGATTGGTTGGTGATAACGGACCCAGCGCGGATTGGTGGGTGACAATAGACCCAGTACGGATTGGTGGGTGATAACGGACCCAGTGCGGATTGGTGGGTGACAATAGGCCCAGTGCAGATTGGTTGGTGATAACGGACCCAGCGCGGATTGGTGGGTGACAATAGGCCCAGTGCAGATTGGTTGGTGATAACGGACCCAGCGCGGATTGGTGGGTGACAATAGACCCAGTACGGATTGGTGGGTGATAACGGACCCAGTGCGGATTGGCAGTTTTTTTTTATATATATCAACAAATCTTAAGGTTAAGTTTATGATTTTGAGATCACTGGAGCTAAAGAAGTTTCACTTCAGTCGTGTTGTCATAAGCACAGTCGCTTTTATTTTGGTCGTATTTTTGCTCAACTGCCCCCGCTGATTTTCAACGTTAAGTCTGTTGTACGATAATCCCTTCTTCGTACTTCGTGTGTGATCCGCAGTTAGCCAATTTTAACGTGCATATGGTGCATAGCAACGCAAGTGCATTGCGTGTCCAGTACAATATCAATTCTTATTCGCAGGCGAATTATCATCCAGAACGTTTCTTTCGGCTTTTAAAGGTTTAGTAAATACGTGATATAGTATGGGAACCTAACCGGATTTTGGGATTAACTCAACCTTGCACCATACTAATGCCCTTACGATAGGCTCGAACGTCTAGAACAGCAATCAAATTTCAACAAACTGCTATGACTATATCTGCTATGAAATGAATTTTTTTAAGGAAGAGACATTCAAATTGATGCAATACAAAGTCTTTGTTTGCTCAGCCTGCAGTTTTCAAAAAGCAACCGGAACCAGATGCTAAAAGTAGCATAATTATATTTTATGTAAATAAGTTAAATCGTTAAATTATAAATTAAGACATTTTTTTTATTTTCTTGGCCAAAATCTGTGTACTTTTACAGTATGTATGTATATTATGCCCATATAAAATATCATTATGGCATTATATGGGAGGGCAACCTTGCACCTTGGGAAGTACTCTCACCATACCGGGCCCTTTCGATAGAGTCGAACGTCTTGGACAGCAAAAAAAAATCAACAAACTGGGGGCCAATCGCCTAACGAATATGCTATGGCTATCGCTATCGCTTACGATATATTTATTTTATTTCTGACCGCTGAAGGTTTTGAAATGCCTCGCGCTGTGTTTTTTTCTTTTGCATTAGTAAGGTATTTGAAAACCTTCGGGGGTCAGAAATAACAAAATAAAATCGTAAGCGACAGCGATAGCCATAGCAATGACGTTAGGCAATTGACCCCCTGCTAGGACTTGGGGTCGCGATCAAATAGTGACTCTTTTGAATAGGACCTACTGGAGGGTTCACCTAACATTTTCAATGACGGAAAAATATTAATCTATTTGCATGCTATAGGGGTGGCCGTAAGAAGGAGGTAGAAATTATGAAAACGAAACTTATTCGAGCTCATCAAATATTGAAAAGATATGTTACGTAAAACCACCAATAGCGCCTATTCAAAAGACTGAAACTAAAATTAACGCGGTCGGACCTGCTAGTACAGCGATAAAACTGTACCAAATAAAAACAATTTAAAAAATCACCGAGCTCAGGACCGAACCACCGTAGTTGGCAGTGCCGTCTTTGACCTATTGGGGGCCCTGGGCATATTAGGATAATGGGGCCCCTATGACTTCCATTTGGTGATTTAACAGGGACTAGGGACTCTATATTTGATCTGAGGGGGCCCCATATCTACCCGTACGGCAATTCGTCTCTTTTGGTAGATGATGAAATTACGGATACCTATCTTCTGTCAAATACTCTACTTCCGTTTCATCGAATCTCAAATCATAACGGTGCTAAAAAAGTTTTCACTTTCAAAAGTATTACTCATATGACTCATTATGAAACAAATTGGTCCGAAGGGGGGTCACAGCCCCCCCCCCCCCCCCAATCTAAGGTCAAATTGAAAAATCCTAAAAAAATAGCCAAATAATTAAAGAAAAATTCTAACAGCGATAAAATAGTTTGTTGACATTTAGTGGTGGTTTTTATGAACTACGTACGATGGCCAAAATAACTTGGAAATGACATCTAGTACTAGTTCAGAAACAAGGAACCGAACTACGTAGGTTTGGTAATCCTAGCAAAATAATTTAATTGATATGCGTCGTTATGATAAAGATTGTATAACAATATTTTATAAGTAATGTATAAACTAAATTGTGTCTTGTGCAATAATGTTTATTTTATTCCAGATACCTATTTTTTAATTTCAGGCTGCGACCGCGCCTGAGGATACGAGTACTAAGGAATACAATGAACTGCCTGGCTGTCTGTGAACTGTGCTAGAACTGTGTGGTTTATCAAAAGTTGTTTACAGATAAAATAGTTGCTCTCGATGTTTAACTCATGATCCAATGAACTATGGGAATTTTAATTGTAGATTATTGAACTAATGAAAGCCATAGAATTCGTACGAAGAGAACACACGCGGCGCCGTCCGCGGCGGTGTCACAGATAAAATTAGACGTTAGTTCAACGACCGCTAACCTCGGTTAAATTCTGGCTATTCACATACAGATATTTTGGATACACTTCCTTGTTACACGATTTTCCGCTATCCTTCTGTGGTAGAAAATTAGGGCAGAATTATTGTAGTTTATAATAGAAGGTTTTGAATCCATCGTGGTCTACTGGTAGGCTACAAAAACAAGTTCACGATTGAAATATTATCAATGACCTTTTCTTTAATATTGAAAATTCCAATGCAAAAGAAAAAAAAAAGAGCTCGAGGCATTTGAAAATCTCAGACGGCCAGAAATAACAAAATGGAATCGTAAGCGTTAGCGTTTTCTAAGGTTTTTCTGTTAAGCGAATGGCCCCCTGAAGTTGGTCCAACAACGACTAACGAAACGACTATCACTCTTAAGCGACTGGGTTGACAAAGATTCAAACTGCGCCACTGTGTGGCAGATAAAAAAACGAGCGAGCCTTACAGTAGTCGCGTATGGTGTGTAACATTTGAAACCTCACCTAATATTAGTAAAAAAAGAAATAAAACCTACTACAAAAGGAATAAGCCATTTGAACATTATGTTCTAAAATCAAATCAAATAGCGCGCGCTTTCGCGACTTCCTGTTACACACTTCCGTCCCATTTCACGAAAGCACTCCCACAAATTGCAGGAAAGCGAGAGGAAAGATGTTACACATCAAAAATACATTTTTATGTGCTACACTTCTTATATTACAAAAGTATTCTCCTTTAGCTTTATTTAATTCGATTAGAAAAGTTTGATTTGATTGCACTGGGATTTGATAAAAACTGGTAACTACTCGGTCAAGAAGGTTGTAAGTTACAGACAGACCCCTCTTTCCCAGTGGACACTTTGGGCCCCTCAAATCAAATTCAAAGTCCCTTATTCCTGTCAGATCACCAAACGATAACCAATATTTATTACCAAAAAACTTATATAATTCGATGAAATCGAACCTAAATTACTGACTACAACACCAACTTACTAGCTTTTACATAAGCAAAGATATTCTACTCTCGCCCAAAAATTAGGCTTTCCGACTTCAGCATGCTTAAATAAATTTAAATATACATACCTATACGTATACTAAGCACATACACATTTTAAAGAAAAATCATCAGTGGTAAGTACATTCATAGTTGACTCGCTCCATTTTAAGTCATAATTCATTTCAAAGTCATAGGGGCCCCATTATCCTAATATGCCCAGGGCCTCCAATAGGTTAAAGACGGCCCTGTTGCTAGGGTCATAAGCAGTTTCGCTAATGATTTTCGAATAAGCAGACATTCCCATCGAGATTTGAGAGACATGCCCGATTGTAGAGATCGGAAATTGGGTTACATGGATATAGAGGGGTGCTGTAATGCCTACCGACCATTCTTTTGGACAACAAGATATTGATATGGCCCGAAGGCTTAGGAGCAACCAGTTTGATATATTATTTAATTTTATTATCATTGTGATAGCCGCCACAGTAACATGCAGTCTGTCCACAGATGTCTACCCGTGTGTCTACCGAAGTATGTACTTGCATTAACGATATTGTGTTCTATATGCCACACAGCCGAGGTATACTTAAGGATTCTGTTTGTAACTCTTAAAGTACAGTTGTTGTCAAGTATTGTATCTACCAACGTGGTTTCAACTATTAGGTACAAAACATATTTCCGATGTAACAGCGATGGTATATCCACAGACTGTAATGAATGAATATTTGACAATTACTTCTGACGAAATAAGATGTGGGCAGGTGACATAACAGAGCGTTTGTATTGATGAACATTTGGAGGTCAACAAACAATGAATAAGTTAGAAGTAGGTTACGCATAGTAACCAACTATATTAAATAGTAACGTATAACGCGAGGACACTGCTTTAGCACTAAAATAGAAAGAATAACTCGTTTACCATGCATTTTAAGGAGATAAGGGGCATAGCTGATTTGCCTCTAGATCTGAGGCGCCATCGCCATATTAGGTAAAGCTAGATGCCTTGCAGATTTCCAATATATTTTGTATTCCAGGCGCAACTTCGGCAAGTTTTTTTTGCAAGTACAGCTACAAATCCTTATTTTGTAAAACCGTTTAGTAAGTCGGTACTTAATTTAGGTAGGATGTAATATTGACAAATGTTGTATTTTAGTCGATGACAACGTCCATAATATTCCATACCGGTGACGACATAAGAGGACTTGTGGGTAGGTACCCGAAATACGATACGCGTGACTATTGGAGAAAATAGGAGAGCTCTCACCCAAAATATACAATTAATTTTTTTGCTAAGATAGCTATAAATATACATGATTATACCTACTCTTCTACTCTTTATCATATTATTGTCCTGTTTTCGATGCGTGACTAATAATAAATTATTGTTTTCATAAATTATTCGAAACTTGCCATAACAACTCGTCTCCTTATATAGACCACGAGTCATACAACATTGAATTGAATTATCTTACGTCATATACAAATATGGTTCGAGGTGCGCGGTGATGTCAACAACTCTCGCCTACATACGTTGAAAACCAGACGGTCTTGGGCTCAATACTAACTTTAATGTCTTGATGCGACAAGGCGGGATATGAATGAATCAAAATTGCTGCGAGTAGGCGGTTTCTATATGGTTATATGGTTGATATTGATACCCATGTATGTGTATATACAGTGAGTATTTTCCGTTTTAGGGTTACCCCAAAAGAAAAAAAGGAACCCTTTGTTGTACGTCTGTTTGTTAAGACCCTTTATCTCTGGAACGAGTGCAGATATATAGTTGCAAAAACCATATACTCAGTCATCTTAGTCTGCGGCTCCTTGAAGCTGAGAAAAAAATCAAACTTCTAAATGAAAGTAGAAAAGAGACAGTTACGGCCCTTTATGTTGCAAACTACGGAACCTGAATGCGCGCGCACGATTCGTACTTATCCGGTTTTTTGGATCAAGCCTAAAACCAAGAAGAAGTACAGCTGAATAACTCTCACATTTTAAGATTAGATAGAAATTGTATATTTTTTTTTTTAACAGATTTTGTTATTTCGTGTAAATCTTGGGCTTGTAAGTGCGTTTAGTCGACAGATTTTGAAATTAAGGAATAGTATTATGGAATCCCATATGAAACTGCTATGTACCTAATAACTATTTTTTGATAAGCATAATATGTTTTTTAAACTAGTATTAAATGTTTGTATATTGTATTATTATAGTCAAATACTATAGAAACTCTACGAAGTACTCCAGTTCTATAGTATTTGTTATAGTAGAGCTGTGTGGAAGAAAGCTTATGACAAAAGTAAATAGGAATACCTATTAAAGAAAGACGAATTGTTAGAATGGTTGCCGTCAATTGATTTTAAACAAATTGGACTCTGTTCAAGATGAAATGCAAAAGTTTAGAAGGATGGCATCACAGAATTAACCTCCATAATCCCAAAGCGACCAAGCTTGTTCAATTTTATCCAGAAATTGCAATATAAGGCTACGTAATTGCACAGAAAGAAAATAATTTACATAGAACTGCATCTGTAATTTTTATATTTGCTTGCTAATAAGTATCATTTATTGTTTATTTTAATGCGATTTTTAAATATCTATGTTTAAAATTATATGTAGGTACCTACTCATAATGTGATACAAATAGCAGTGGTATATACACCAGGTTTGAAGGTGTCGCCTGCATGCGAGGGTTCGAATCTCTGTGGAGGCAAACGTTAGTATGATGAATACGAGCATCTGTGTATTCTGTACCGTAGTCATGGATGTTTATTACTATTCTATAACAATGTACTTAAATATGTATTCTATCCATTACCTTGGTATCCCATCATAACACAAGCCTTAGGCCGGGACTCCACCAAAGCAGAGATGTGTGCGGTGTGCTGTGCGAGAAGAGATGTATTTCAGCTCGGGGGACTCCACCAAAGCGGAGATGTGTGCGGTGTGCTATGCAAGAAAAGACTTTTCAGATCGGGTGTGAGGCGTTGAGTGCTCAGCGGGGCTCTGCGGGTTGCTGGCGGGCAAGAGGGGGGAGGGTGATACCGCTCACTCTATCTCCACTGAAGCTGAGCGGAGAGATATGTCAATAACACAATTCTATTGGTTTAAAAAAGATCTCTCCGCTTTGGTGGTGTCCCGGCCTTAAAGTGCTTACTTGAGGGCTAATAGGTGTTTTTTGACGTAAATTTGTTTGGCAACAGTAATGTTTCGAAAAATTATAGTACCTACCTACTAAAAACAAATTATGATCATCAATAAATAGTGATTACTATTAGCAGTATTTTAGATTCCATAACGTAAACGACAATCAAGCGATTTATATGAGAAGGTAAATTTTAAATTTGCTGCAAGAAATAAATCCGAACTTAGTGTGAACCTAGAATACTAATTTAGTATTGTATATAGTGTACAGAATTACAAGACAAGGAATCTTAGGAGAGTTGAAAAGTATATTATAGTCAAAAGGATAGCAGTCTTTTAAATATTATTATAAATAAAAAAGTACAGAGTAAGGACGATGCGCAATTATTAAAATCAAACGACAACATAGGACATAATTTTTGTTTTTATTTCAGTTCACCGCGGGAATGTATCGGTGTGAGTGTGCCGGAAATAAATAAATAATCATCGGCTCTAGTACTCTTCGGCGCCTTCGCCTTCACCCTCGGCGGAGTCCATGCCGACCTCTTCGTAGTCCTTCTCGAGGGCGGCCAGATCCTCGCGCGCCTCGGAGAACTCTCCCTCCTCCATACCCTCACCGACGTACCAGTGCACGAACGCACGCTTGGCGTACATGAGGTCGAACTTATGGTCCAGACGGGCCCACGCCTCCGCGATGGCCGTGGTGTTGGACAACATGCATACAGCGCGCTGCACCTTAGCCAAATCGCCACCGGGGACGACGGTGGGCGGCTGGTAGTTGATGCCCACCTTGAAACCGGTCGGGCACCAGTCCACGAACTGGATGGTGCGCTTGGTCTTGATGGTCGCGATGGCCGCGTTCACGTCCTTGGGGACGACGTCTCCGCGGTACAGCATGCAGCACGCCATGTACTTTCCGTGGCGCGGGTCGCATTTCACCATCTGGTTGGCGGGCTCGAAGCACGCGTTGGTGATCTCGGCGACCGACAACTGCTCGTGGTACGCCTTCTCCGCGGAGATTACGGGAGCGTAAGTCACCAGCGGGAAGTGGATACGCGGGTACGGCACCAAGTTGGTCTGGAACTCGGTGAGATCGACGTTGAGGGCGCCGTCGAAACGCAGGGAGGCGGTGATGGAGGATACGATTTGACCGATCAGCCTGTTCAAGTTGGTGTATGTGGGACGCTCGATGTCCAAGTTGCGGCGGCAGATGTCGTAGATAGCCTCGTTGTCTACCATGAACGCGCAGTCGGAGTGCTCCAGTGTGGTGTGGGTGGTGAGGATAGAGTTGTACGGCTCGACGACAGCGGTGGACACTTGGGGGGCGGGGTAGATAGCGAACTCCAGCTTGGACTTCTTGCCGTAGTCCACGGAGAGACGCTCCATGAGGAGGGAGGTGAAACCGGAGCCGGTGCCACCTCCGAACGAGTGGAAGATGAGGAAGCCCTGGAGGCCTGTGCACTGGTCGGCCAGCTTGCGGATGCGGTCCAGGACCAAATCTACGATCTCCTTGCCGATGGTGTAGTGGCCACGGGCATAGTTGTTGGCCGCGTCCTCTTTACCAGTGATAAGTTGTTCTGGATGAAACAACTGTCTGTATGTGCCTGTGCGTACCTCATCTGTTAACAAAAAAAAGTTTCTTTAGTAAAATGAAAAAAGTTCTGTAAAAATGTTTTTTTATGCTATACTAACAAAATGAATCATGTTTTTCTAGAATGAAGGAACAATCATATCCACTTTTAAGTGAACTCTCTTGTCTTCAAATTTATCATTTTTAAAATCTAATAATACTGACCAACTACTGTGGGTTCCAAGTCGACGAACACAGCACGGGGAACATGCTTGCCCGCCCCAGTCTCGCTGAAGAAGGTGTTGAAAGAATCATCTCCGCCTCCGATGGTCTTGTCTGTGGGCATCTGGCCGTCGGGTTGGATGCCATGCTCAAGGCAGTACAGCTCCCAGCAGGCATTGCCGATCTGGACTCCGGCTTGGCCAACGTGTACTGAGATGCACTCACGCTGTTGACAAAAGGATAGTTTCTGTTGTAGTAAACTCAAGTTGCGTAGGTTAACTTGTTACCCATTTATAAACCTTGACCACAGACAGCTGAAAGTTCAAGTAGACGACGCATTGTATCGTAAAGTGACCCGAATGAATGAAATTTCTATCTGTCTGTGACCCTGATCCATAGAATTTGTATCATCTTTGAATTTATTTGTGTGTGCATATTCGGCATGTAACAAAATGCTTAGTAAACTATGGAAAAAGGGAACCTATGACTATTCATTTAGATGTACTATTGTATGGGATGAGAAAGTTGTTAAACTACTTTATTGGAAAGTCGAGAGATAGCATTTACCACGCTGATTGAACCATCAAATCAAACCATTGTTTGGTGAAAGGTGAAAGCGTGTGTTCATTCTTCCAGATAGCTGCGGTTATGGGAATCGGAGCGAGAGATCAACTTGAAAAAATGTTAAACAGACTATACGTTTTTTAATTTTAATGAAAATTATTTCCTTTTCGGAATAGGAAGGTACAGGCAAATTTAGTCCTTGAATGAGGTCAGGCGACACGTCATTCAAACTTGATCAATACAAGAAAACAAAAATGATGTCATTTCATTTATGTACCTACCTAGAAAATAAATAATTGCACAATAAGTCTAGAATGTGCTTCGAAATTAGATAAGAGCTTCTAAAGGAATTGAGAAAAATCTATAAAGGCGTGGCCGGTGACATGACAACCGGCATGATCATCTAGACTACAATAAACCTACAGGAAAATGCAATTTCTTCTAAAGAAAATCAACTTAATTATTCTTCTTTTGTTATTTTTAAACTTTAAATCTTCCACGATATTGAAAGAACGAAATTTAACTTTCGAAACACATGAAGATCGTAATATGTAAAGTGCTGACAAATTTAAGATGACGCTTCCTTATCAGAAAACCGTTGGCAACGGGCGATTTTCATTCGGTCGTATAGTACGCCGACAAAATGGTGGCGTGCACCAAGCCGGTGAAATTCTCAGAAAAATTACTAAATACTACAGAAAATTGGGAAATTAACTAAATAAAGTAAAAATATGCATGTACTCACCATTTTGTGTTGAGTTTTGTTGACTTAACGTACAAAATAAGTTAATAAATTATGTCAGTCGTCGTTCAGCGCGACCGGTTAAGAGGCTTGCCAAACGAATAGTAATACGAAAAATTCCGTTAAAATTGCTTTTATAGTACCGGTGATACGGGGGAGCGACGCTTGGCATCCCGCATTGTGATTGGTCCGTTCTACTGCCGCATAGGCGGCTCAGCCAATAAGGTCAAAGCTGTATTATATCACCATTGCGGGAATATGTGGGTTGGTGATTCATTCACCTTTGGTGTTGTAAAGCTACTGATATCGATAACATTATGAATTATTTTTACAAACAAAGTATGATTTCGCCTTCTTTATTAACAGCAAATAAAAGTTAAATAAAACACATATCTGAGCACAAATAGATTATATACAGGAACCTAACATTTTATAGCACTAAAAGTTTGCTATATTTGAAACAGGTAAAAAACTAGTGTTAAATGTGCATGAAAATTCATTGAAACTACGTTAATCTTGTTTGTGTTAGAGAGATACAACTATAAAAAGATCATCCAAACTATATAATATATCATATTATATAATATTTGGCAGAAAATAAGATCTACAAGTTTATTGAAGTTATACTTCTTTAGGCGCGTTATGAAAAAATGATGAGAGTGAAATTTTAAGATGCGCGCGCATCACTGTAACACAAAATTTTAACAGCATGAAGTTGGTCGCTTTAGCGACCAACTTCATGCGTTACTTTTGTGTTTACCGCACATTAAGATAATCTACCAACAAAATAGAAATAGAATCTCTATTTAGTGGGTGCTAACAACTGCATTGTGAAGGCCTATCAAAAGTATTTATTAATCTGGAACAACGGAACCAAAGTGCGATTGTGGAGACTACAGCGCCATCTCTTGACCATTGGTGTAGTAGAACCAAAAACCACATCTTTATTTTTGACGTGACAACGTCTTAAATTAGGTTGCGGCTGGGAGTCACTTATGAAAAAGTGTAACGCTCGGTAACGTTACGATGAGTCTCTCGTGTTAAGTTTAAGTTTACATGTACAATGTTTTAGTAAACAAAATATATTTCTATAGTTAAAATTTGTGCAATTCTTATTTTCATTCAATTCCTTGTTCCTATTGTGCAATTTAATTATATTCATATCAATAAATATTCTACCGAGAAAAAGACGTTGTCACGTAAAATCTTCGCCCGTAAAACCGACTTTACAGGCAACCATTTTTTGTAATAAAGTAACAGTTATAGGTATTCATATTTATAATATTTATCCACATGTTTCTAGTTTGTATATTCGGAATACGTGTTTGAGTTTCATACAAGTGCAAATCACATATGTTCTAATAAATTATATTCAGTAGCGATTTTAATTGAATATTTTGATTATTTATTTATTTTTTCAAATTAAAACTGAACTTTATTGACTGTGTCCTTTTCCAGACTTTTTATTAATTTATTGTAATTAATTATTTGCATGCAATTAAAAACTAATTTTAAACGATGCCAAAGAAGGATAACTTCTCACGCGCCTACATAAGTACACGCACCCATTTTTTTTTTATTCATCTATTTAAATTGCTTGGATGTGGTGTTTGTTACTTTATTTATTAGTAGGAAGAAGTCTATGGAAATAATTAAACAATTTTGAAAATACTTCCACTAGTCTGAGTGACGTGACAAGGCTATATTTTATAGCGTTTTTTTTTTATATCGTGGAGTTGAATGGTATAGGTATGTATTTTCTGCTTCAATTTTCTTTGATTCTTGTATTTTGTTAAAATTTTGACGATCTCCGTGGCTATGTGGTCTGTACGCCGGGTTTCAAGGTGCCACCTACTCGAGAGATTCTGAGTTCCGAATCCCGGTGGGCCCAGATGTTTGTGTGATGAATACGAGCATTTGTACTCCAGTCATGGATATTGAATTTGTATTTCTATATAAATATATGTCTATCAGTATATATGTATTCTATTCGTTACCCTAGTATCCCATAATACAATAACAAGACTACAGTGCTTACTTCGGGGCTAGTTAAATTGGTGTAATAAAAATCGAGCGGGTCCGTTATGCCCTACCTCTCTTCTTGATTGAATCCTATCGTTTGCTAATAAATAGATTTAAAAAATCTGACGAATAAATTGATCGAATTTATTTATTATTATTTATTTATTTTGAGAAGAATAATATATAAACACACACATATAATGTACTAAAAGTAACAGGTGTCTGTTTTTAACCGACTTCAAAATAGGAGGAGGTTCTATGTTCGACTGTATTTCTTTTCTCCGTCAATTGTAGACCGATTTCCAAAATTCTTTTTTTATTCGAAAGAGTGCACTTTCGAGGTAGTCCTATTGGAACCAAGTCAGGATCAGATGGTGGAAACCGAGGAAATGAGGGAACCTTCTATTTCAAAGGCACGCACGATGTTTTCATCGATTTCTCCTTCCATTGTGTTATTGTCTACTTGGACGAAGTAATTTTCACTAAAACGGATAAAATAAAAAAATTGTGTATGTCAGCTCCAACGCACGACCGGAGTTTACACTCTAAAAACGATTGTCTTTGAACAGACACAAAACAAAATCAAGTCCGAAGAAGTCGGTTACAAGTAGAGATACCTCAGGAATCGTCCCATGGTTTCGACTATTATAGGTTCCATGTCACACATTTTATCATCTAACATCAGCGATATTCATCGTATATTTTATTATGTATTTCTGGAAACACACAATTTCAAAAATATCACACACTAGTCATCATTTTGTAAATATGTATTATAATTCCATCTGTACTGAATATCACTATTCCTGGACACACTGGAGTGCTGGACACTTACCGGCATTTCTCTATATTCTGTTATTTATTTGTTTTCATTAATTTTGCTCCGATTTTATCTATTTTTAGTTTATTTATTTTATTGACATTTGTGACAACTTAATGTTTTTTATCCGTTGCCATGGCTAAAAGTGAAAGGTGCGCAGATGAGGTTGCGCACAAAAAAGTAACGAGGTCATTAATGTCATTCATCTATAGATTTTACTCCTTACATTTTTCTCATACCGGGACCCTTATATATACAAATCGATTCTTAAGGAGTAAACTCCAAAAAAATTAAACAAAAAATGAAACCGACTTCAAAATCGAAAATGGAACTTAAAAGCAAAAAATAATATCTGCTGGTTCATGATTTGGAAGTCGGGTGGGGTCAAGATTGAAACATTAAATAGATTTTCGTTTCTGATCGATAATAATGCGTCTTTCAATCTTAACGCGCCCGACTTCCAAATCATGAACCAGATATTATTTTCTACTTTTAAGTTCCATTTTCGATTTTGAAGTCGGTTTTATATTTTGTTTATAAAATTTGCATAATAAAATATTTCATTGTTCGATACATAATAATTTGATCTTGGCACATCACTATGGATCGTTATTTTGTTCAATCAATCGAAAGGAAAACGCACACATACAATTTTCACCGTCTGGGCGGTTAATTTAGATTTTTGGAAATAATTTACGGTAGATATTTACTTTAAAAATTCAATTAAATAGCTCTAATGTGCATTTAGTATTGTGTCTTAATTTTGTACTCGTATAATGCGATTTTGTATACTTTTGTAGTACGAACTTATCGAACACGAGCTCTCGCACACATGCGCAAATGTATTTGTATTCAGGAGGAGGATTCCGCTGCATTGCAGCTGTCTCGTTTCTGCCGTTTTTGCTTTCTGCCCATACGGACACAAGGCGACAGTGTTACTGAAACAGTATTTTTTTTTCTAAAATTAGGTTTTTACAGGAATACAAAATATTGGTTTCCCAAATAAACTTCCATCCCTTAGCACTCTTTGCAAGGGTGATTACTAGAGTAAAAACTATCCGTTAAAAATTTATCTATACCAAATTTCATCAAAATTGGTTAACCAATTTAAGTGTGAAGAGGAGGTAAAGCCTATTAAATAAAATCACATCCATAATAATACACTAATATTATAAAATATGTTACCACTACTGAACTGATTTAGATGAATGAACTGGTTTACAGACTATTCTATGATAATTTTTACCTTATTAGTTTTTTTTTAGATTGAGAGCCAGTGATGATTTGCGTGGAATCATTTCATTATAATTTTTGTCTTTACTCATCGAGTAATGATAGAAGGAATTAGTCATTGTCAACAAGATGAAATTTAACTTCGATTTAATTAAAATACGTCTAGGTAACATACCATAAAAACACATTCTATTTATATTAACAAACGCCATCTATTGTACATTTGATGTTTTGCGTGTTCAGTTATCCAGTAGAGACCAAAATAAAAAGCACGACTTGTTTGAAGCGCCATCTGTAGTTACTTTTTGAAATTTAATACTCGGTAGTCTACAATAACTTCATTTAATTTATTTTTAATAGCCTCAATATAAATATTAAAGTGTATGAAAATTAAACGCTATGAGAACCTATCTAATAGAAAATATACAAAGAGATTACTTGCCCGTACAGGCAATGTTGTCAAAAATATAATTTCTTCAATTTACTTCTACACAGGAAGTATGAAGTTTGTAGTATAGTAAATTATTATTTGAATTGGTTAAATAAAATAAACATCAAGTACACTGACGAAGATGGTATAAAATTAAGAAATTTATATTTTATTTCACTACAGTTTCCATGAAAGTCTTCCAAAAGAAAGAGACAAATATATATCATAGCATTATGCACGCACGCATGATACGTCCTCTGATATTTCCGTTCAGTCAGTTTGTTTTCCCGCGCTACGTTCAACGAGTGCGCGCCAAGCCATTCCGCGCGCGAACGCAACTTCTGCCGTTTGACGACTCGAAATAAATATCGAAAGTTTATTTTAAAAGAGTTTTGTGGTGTCTTGTTTATGATGAAATAAATAATATGATTAGGCAGTGATTTTGTTATGTGTTTTTGTGTGTTGTGAAAAGATAAAAGTTTTAAAAGTTCTTTCTTTTCGGTGAGTTTTGTTAAGAATGTATGTTTTCATAATTATAAGTTATAAAAATCGAAAATTAGTTAGTTGCTGCTGGTTACCCATACAGTTGAAACTATGAGTGTTTTTATAATTTATTTATAAGTCGAACACCTTACAAGGCTATGTTATCCGTTATTATGTCGTTTATGGATTGGTTGTACCTTGGATCGGATACAGTCTTTAGAGGAATAACCAGGCTACCTAAACTGGGCTAGCTCG